GTTTCCGGCTGTTGTTGTTAGTGGCATGTTCTGCTTAGTACGTGCTCTGCGCATCATACAGCTGTTTCCGAGGCAGTCTGATTTAAGTCTGCGAGATGCGTAAATGGGTCAAGATTGGTGGTCAAAAGAGGCGTTTTTGTATATTCCCAATCACTCAACAAACGACATAGCGTCAGCAGGTTCTGGCACGGCAGTTGGCTTGATTCATGCTTTCATTTCAAGACTTCATTCCGAGAGAACATGATGAAAATTTTCCGTAGTTGTGCCTCCAGAGCTATACGCTCAAACGGTCATGGCCATCCTCATTCGTCATGTAGGATGGACAAGCAACCGGGAGAGGGATGACAGAACGCCCCATGCCGAGCAATACCATTTGCTTGTAGAAGAACCCCGCTTTACGATCATGCACCCATTCCGAATGGCCTTCATCGCGCCTCTACTCCTCCGCACTTGACCCGCTCATAGTGTCGATTCGTTTACGAGGAGTTGACGGTGGGGCCCTTGGCGCCCTTGGGGGTACCGGTTTGGAATCCGTTGCTGAACTTGCGGTTGACGGTCTTGAGGTATCGCATGCGGCCGGTACCGGTGGTCTTCCTTCGCTTGGCCTTCTCGCCCCAGTTGACTGTCCTGTGTTAATTGCTTGTCTGGTTCGGTGTGTGCGCGCGTTTGCACTCTAGGTAAACGTACACTTGCGGGTCTTAGCAGCAGGGTAGCCGCATGAGGCGCAGGTGTGCTTCTGAATGTGAAGGGATCGGCGACCTGTAGATTTCCCGTCAGTCCCTGTGGCCGATGTTGTTCCTCTCTCAACAGCTCCAATCCAAGCAACTGTATATCCAGTGCCATCGTCCAGAGAGGAATTACGTACCGCAACGTCTGCAGAGCGTGTGCGTCTTGTTGTGGCGCTTTCCGAAACTGGAGGTACCCTTCGCTATATCATAGTCAGTCTCCAAGCTCGAGGTTGAACGGGCATATGGGAGCGCAGCGTACTCATTTTGGCTGGGGACTGTTCAAAATATTTGTCAGTAATTGGGCAGTAATAGTAAATTGACAGAAGAACATACCTTGTGACGCTGTTGTTAGTATCGGAGGGTGGTGTTGTCGCGAATTGTCGTGCGCTTTGGAGAAGTCTCGGGTAGCGAATTTCGAGCATTGTGTGAGGCTAGTCAATTTTGGCTTAGCGCGATTTACGCCAAAGCGCGACCAGCGAACAGCCTAAGGGCTCACGCCAACATCATCACGAAACGACCATCGACATTGAAAAAATGCCAAGAGCATCCGCTCTATTGCGCTCAAACCAATTAGAGCTGCTGAGTTAATTTACGATTGAAATTTTCCCTGGCTAAGGCTGCACCGCACGCAGCTACCGTGGGAAGATGAAAGGATAGCGTATATCCTGATGACATTTTCCACAAAATGTGCACAAATTGCATCAATTAATCGAGCATCACAGAAGCACTGGCTTGAGCCTTGATGCTAGAGTATCAAGCATTCTTTGTAAGGTTGATGCTGTGGAGGGTACTAATCTACGACCACTAGTTCACACTTGCCATACTACGTCAAGAACCCTGTCTCAGCTCTACTTTTCGAACATGTCATCTTTGACTCGCATTGGGCGTATTGGAGAGATGGTCTGGCTTGTACTAGCAATCTGTAGACTCTTGGACTGACCTGCAAGACGATATGGCAACAGACGCACGTGGGTGGACTTGATTGGATCAGAGCTTCATTCATGATATGAAGAGCTGAATACGAAATTATGAAACGCATACCAAGAAGGCAGACTTGTGTTGCGCCTTGGACGTGTGGACTATCATTTACGGAAGCCAGATGGGAATCGCCCCAAGACCCCCCCCACACGGGATTCTAGGCTACCCAATCCAGCTTCGACTTCAGGAGGACTCGCGACAATCCTTGCATGTGTCCTGTCCGCAAGGTGATGCATGAATGGCATTTGCTCACAAGACCCTTTAGACTCCGTGTTACTGGTTGATTATGTCTGATCCAGATCGCTGTCTGTACGCGGCCCAGTAGGTATCTGACATTTGTGCCCAAAAAAACATATCTCAACGTCTGCAAGACCCGCAGACGTGAGGCCGCCACCAATACACTCCTTCAACCAAGCAGTCAAGCACAAGCCAGGACGGCTGGAGAGCACGGCAGATTGTGAATCAGCACACCGGAAACTGCTTATTCCCACGTGGAAGGTTTGAGTTTCGGTGGCCATTCCGCTCCAAGGACTGACGCACTCGTCATCCCAGTATCAAAACCACCACAACATCCCAATACGATGGTTCGTGGCACCGCGGATATGTCACGCCATCCCACGGCACATAACTCAATCGTACCCCTCAAACAGTACACGGGCTGAACGAGACATGAGGCGTGCCGTCATGTCGAGGTTGGCATGGGTGCCGTTCTGAGATGTTGCGTGTGCAGCCAATCAGGGGTGAAAACGTGAGCTCGTGCTTGTCCCTGTGGTGCAACTCCGAAATGCTTCCCACCCAGCATTCACAGCTAAGCCCTATCGCTCGGCTTCTACTGTCATTCTGGCTTGGCCCCCTTGGGGTTCTCTACCAATTGGTGTCCAGCGAGATGGCATTTGGACGTCTGGTCCAACCTGGTCTCACCCCCTCGGCATGGACCTCGCGTTCGTAATGCCAAATCGCCCCTGCAGTGGCATGTTGGAGCATGCTATATTGACTCGCTTGCGATTCCATGGGACAGTTGATCGCCGAATACCACCGACTTACTTCCATATACTGCGAGGCGGCCAACCTGATCTATTCTTTGTCGTCGCGCCTACTCTTATGAGTACTCTTTGGTTTTGAAGGTCAATTTTCCTCCAGAGCACTCGCCTTGACTGCCAGTCATGCCATCTTTTGGACGTACTGGAAATGCGGCGTACCGAGATGTTCCTGGTGTCTATGTAAGTACTGATAGACACAACCTGATACTACGGCGTTACTAATGGGACTACCAGACTCACATTGCAGACCCTAATGAGCGCCGGCGCATGGCCCTCGCTGAGGTGGATAAAGCACCCTTCGGATGGTATCATGTGCGCCTAGCTGTGGTCACTGGCATAGGCTTCTTCACAGATGCTTACAGTGTACGTCTAAAAATGAAACCGACCATACGGACATAGGACTAACGAGTATCTCCAGTTGTTCGCAATTAATCTCACAGTCATATTGCTAGGCATTGTGTATTGGCAAGATGCAGACAATCGTGGTGTCATGCCTCATAATGCCGACACAGCCATCAAAGTTGCCACTTCCGCCGGCGCAATCTTTGGACAGTGCGTCTTTGGATACTTGGGCGATTATCTTGGGCGAAAGAGAATGTACGGCGTTGAGCTCATGATCATCATCGCAACGACCCTTGCGCAATCACTTTGCGGAGAATCTTCTACCCTTTCAATTGTCGGTGTTCTTATCTTCTATCGCGTAATCATGGGAATCGGTGTGGGTGGCGACTGTAAGTTTGATTTCCAGTCTTTTTTTCAGCTCCGGAATTTTTGGTTGGAATCAGCTATGTATGTTCGTAGAAACGCTAACAATCGCTCTAGATCCACTCAGCGCTGTCATCACAGCTGAATTCGCCAGTACACGCTACCGAGGAGGCATCATAGCCGCTGTCTTTGCAATGCAAGGCCTCGGACAGTTGGCTTCGGCACTGGTGACACTCATAGTGGTTGTAATTTACAAAGATCATCTAGTCATAGCAACAGGGGTCGGTGAATGCGTAGGTGAATGTGCAATGCACGTAGACAAGATGTGGCGCATCATCATTGCATTCGGCGGCATTCCCGGCTGGTTCGCGTTATACTACCGACTGACAGTTCCCGAGACACCAAGATACACATTCGATGTGCTGTACGATGTCGAGAAGGCCTCCGTCGATGCGAGAAAGTACCGCTATGGCAAGCAAGGAAACGAGATCGACCCGGTCACCCAGGCCCAGGCCCGCAGCGAAATGGCCAAGTACAAGACTCCGCGACCTTCTTTAGGAGAACTATTTCGGTTTTTCTCGCAAAAGCGTCAAGCCATCCGGATCTTTGGAACCTCAATGTCTTGGTTGTACGGCTCCCTCAGCCCCGCCCCCATCCCAACACCTCACCAACTAACTACCCTCTAGTTTCCTCGACCTCGCATTTTACGGTCTAGGCTTTAGTTCTGCCTCTCTCATGGCCATCATGGGCTTTGAACAAGGCGACAACCTCTACATGTACCTCCGCAACACCGCCACCGGCCAAATCGTGCTCATCTGCGCCGGCGCCCTCCCCGGCTACTGGCTCACCGTCTTCACTGTCGACAAACTGGGCCGCAAGCCCATCCAAATCACCGGTTTCGCCATCCTAACAGTAATATTCTGCGTCCTGGGTTTTGCATGGCAACATCTTACAAAGAAACACTTGCTCGCTCTCTACGTCCTCGCTCAGTTCTTCTTCAATTTCGGTCCAAACGCTACCACGTTTATCACCCCCGCGGAAATATTTCCTACACGAGTACGCAGTACGGCGCATGGATTTAGCGCGGGCATGGGAAAGCTAGGAGCGGTATTTGCGCAGATATTCTTTGCGCCCATGATTAAAAGGGGTGCCACGCATGATAACCCCACACCTTGGATTCACGGCGTTATGCAGATATTCGCCCTCTTCATGTTCCTTGGTATGCTGACGAGCTTTCTTGTTCCTGAATCTAAACGTGCGAGGTTGGAGGAGCTGGCGGGCGAGAAGGATGATGTGTATGAGTTGCAGGCGAGTTTGTGGCGGCGAGGCGGTGTTGCAGGGGCTACGGGCGTTGCCCGTGGAGGTGATGCGGAACATACGCTGGGAAACTCGACAGTTGTGGTTGCGAGGGGAAGTGGGAGTATGTGGAGTGCGGATAAGGGATCTGAGAGTGGGGGGAGGGAAGGCGAGGGGGAGAAGGGGTGGTGGCGGCATAAGCAGAGTGAAGGATATGGGTACGCTGTTTGAGGGCTCCTGTAAAATATGTATCATCCAAGTTTGAAATTCGTTTTTAAATTCCTTAGTTGTGCGCCTTGCCCATATTTTTCGTCATGTTGAATCCTTCATCTAATTCTAAACCCAGTATATGCAGATTCCCAAATATGTAAAATGAAACAACAGAAATTTTTACCCCCCCAAAAAACCATACGCAATCCCTTCACCATATCAAACCCTTATACTTTCCACCCACTCTTCTTCTTGCTGACGACCATAGCCCACAAAACGGCCAGAGTCCCCGTTGCCAGTAAAAGGAAAATACCACTCCACAACTGCACACCGATAAAGTTTGTCCGCCCATTCTCCCTCGTGAGCAGCGCACCCGCAATCGGCGCGCCAATAAGCGTAGCCACGCTGCTTGCACTCCACGACATGCCGAGCCGGGTACCCAACCGCGACATATCCGTAGTGATACTTGCGAACGCCGCCGCAGGTAAGGTGACGAGACCCGCTGAAAAGAAGCCTGCGTGATAATTAGCAATGAATTCTCTTCCCTCTCACAAACAAAAAACGTATCAGAAAGGAGAAGAAGGGAAAGAAAGAAGGGAAAAAAAACATACCCCATAAAATACTAAAAGCCCTAAAACTCTTCTCATCCTTAATCGACAACCAGCTCAACGCCAAAATGCCACTGCACGTCGAACACAGCGCCCACGTCAAGATGGGCCCCATGTAATGCGCCAAAAACCCTACACCCAGTCTCCCAAAGAAACTGCCCGCAATAGCCATGACAAGCATGTACAAGGCGGTACGCTCGTCGGTGCCGAGGTGCTCGCGGGCATACGTGGGGATGTAGAAGTACGGGACGTTGTAGCCGAGGAAGGAAGTGAAGGAGGTGATAGTGAACATGAGGAAGAGGCGGTCATGGAGGGCTGATTTGTCGAAGAGGGCGCGGCGCTTGCGCGGTTTGTTGAGCCAGGCGGAGCCGGAGAGGAGGGCGGGGATAGAGAGGAGGGCCGTGACGAGGGCGACGAAGCCGAGGGAGCGGATGGCCCAGGGGAAGGAGACACGGTGGACGAGGTTGTTGAACATTGTTATGTAGATGATTGCTCCTGGTGTAATGTCAGTTATTCTTCTTCCGTATGACTCTGCGTTCGTTTTGAAGGAACAAGAAGGATTGGACCCTTACCGACAGCAATCCCACTCATAACGATTCCCAGCGCAACATTCCTCCTCTTGTCGAACCACACGCCCACCATAGCCAAACTGGGGATATACAGCAGTCCGGCGCCCAGGCCCATGCATATACCCTGGCTGAGGAAGACTTGCCAGTACTTGGTTGATAGACTCAACATCATGACACCGAATACAACGAGGAAGTTGCCGATGAGGAGCATAGAGCGGAAATATCCCATATCAAAGAGTGGGCCGGAGAGGACGCCGACGACGATTAGGAGCCAGGCTTGAGTTGTGCCGATCCAGGATATGGCGGAGGCCGAGGAGGAGGAGAGGAGCGATGTGCGGTAGTAGGATTGGAATGCGCCGTATGTTAAGGTGAAACCCCTGTAAATAGATTGTGTTGATAAGTATTCAAGTTCATGTTTGTATATGATGTTTCGAAACATATTGCTTGGCGTATTTTGGGGAAGTCACGGGTGATGCTGGGGATGGAGACGGACGCACCAGATGTTCATGTAAATTAAGAAGCCGCCCAGGACTTTGAGCCAAGCGTGGAGTCCACCATCGGGAGCTGGTGGCAGGCCGGATTCGGCAGTGAGTGTTGAGCGTGCATCTAGTTGCGCTTCTTTGTCTGGTGCCATGCTGGTGCTTCTTGGTGTGTCTCGTTCGTCGTGTTGCTCGACTACCTCTTCGCTGTGCTGTTCAGATGAAGTACAGCTGTACTCGTCTTGTGAGACAGCCTTGTCATCGATGATGGGCTCCTTGCCCCCGATTGTCGAATGCGACGTCATCTGGACGTTTTCACAACCTTTCCTCTTTCCCTTTATGCTTTTTCCTTTTACCTTAATGAAGCTTTTGCAATGGGATCTTTCAAGCAACTGCGGGGGTGTGTTTCGAGTTTGCCAAAGGAACTATCTCGAATCAAGTCATTCCAATCTATGGCAGGCAACCTAGACTATAGCCAACATTTAAACACAAACTCTCTCTTGATAAAATAAAGCCTGTGAGAAGGACACCGGTGTGCAGGAATAGAAATCGAGCTCGGAACAAACAGAGAGAGAGTAGTCCGACATACGGAATAACATCATATGCGGAATAAACATATCATGCGCGGAAATGGGTCCGTTGTACAGAGTGCCCCACAAATGTTCTAGCGTATGCGTATGTGCTCGTCATCCTTGGAAATAGCTAAGCCTCTTCCTCTTTGGCTGCGTTGGCATGTTTGGGTGCGGGACGAACGGCAGCTGCCGAGGTCGGAGTAATGCAGTGACTGGAGCCTACACGTGACCTATAGCAGGGCAGCAACCATCTATCATTAGTTCATTGTTGTCAGCCGCAATTGCGTGTTACGGTACTACTATACGCAACTATAAGGGCCGATTATTGGCAATTCAAGCTAGAGTCCGTGCCAATTGGGATGGGTAAAAGAGCCGCACACAAGTCCAGATCGTTCCATCGCCGCACCATCATGTAACAATAACTCCTTATCGCGACCCGGCAATGTGGGTTGAGGCTGTCTCCCAAACGACCGGTGTACATCATTATTGGACGTTTGTGAATATACGTTCGGTTTGAGCTAGTTCTGATTATTGGTATGGCGGAAAGCATCCGGCTTTAAGTGTCAAACGCCATATGCTGTGAATGGAATCCCATTTACATCTTATGGCGTACTAGTGTTTTCTCATGGCTGCTGATCGCTGCCTCTACAACTTAAAGAGAAGAGCTCTGAGCTTGGCGATATACAAGTAGTGAACCGCGAAGAGACGATGAAACGTCCGAGTAGAGAAATCAGCTTTCAATTGATATATCCGTCAAGTGTTTGAGAAACCGACAATCGCAGTTCGTCCGGCAGTCTGGAAAGCATAGCCCGCAAGAAATGTTACACAACCGCGCCGGTGCTGTCCAAGCTGCTTAGCTGGGTCCGTTCGCGGGATCGAAGTTCTGTCCAAGTTGCTCCTTGGGCACTCCTGCACCAGCTCAAGAAAATCATCATCACTGTTTCGAAGCTCAAGCAGCTGGCTTTGTGAACTTGGCTTTCCTGGCCTCTGCCGCGGCCCGGTCCTTCTCACTCATCCAGGTGTTTCCTCCACCGCTACTCTTGTTCTCGCTACGACGATCATCCCGGCCATCCCTGTTCCGGTTATCCCGACGTCCTCCCCGGCCTCCAGTACGTCCAGATTCGCGGCGCTTGTTGCTAGCAGCATCATCGCCGCCTTCGCGTCCACGCTTCTGGCGGCGCTCTGGTAGAGCCTCGTCAAGACCCTTGGGTGGCCCAACCTCTCCAAATTTCTTGGCCCTTTCCAACTTCTTAAGACCTTCATCATCTTCGAACTTTGTTCCGAACTTGAGGGCGCGCTTCTTGCGTTTCTCAATCTCTTCGTCAAGGTTCGTTGCAGCAAGGCCTCTTGAGTAGTCAGGAGCGGGCTCTTCCTTCTTCTCCTCTGACTCGGTCTTTGCGGCTCCGTCCACGGCGCCTTCAGCTGGGGCGTCTGCAGTCAGGTCGTCGGTTTTGGCGGGATCGATATCGGCTACTTGGTTCGGTACTGCTTGCGGGTTCGGTGGCTGGCCCTCGCCTCCGGCCTTTTTGACTGTCTCTTTGTTGGAAGTGACGGCCTCAGCAGGCGCTACTGTCGCAGACGCAGGTGCTGCAGCAGCTTCGTCGTCATCCCAGTCGATTTCATCCTCTGCGCCAGCAGCAGGCTTTGCGCTAGCCTTCTCATCGTCTTTTTGTAAGCGCTCGACCATCTCGGCCTTCTTGCCAGTGTGAGGTAGCTTGCGCTCTTTGAGGAGCGCTGACAGCTCGTCATTCTTCATCTTCGCGTATTCCGTCATGGTTGCGCGAGGATTGGGCTGTGTAGGTAACGTAGTAGGCTTGACGCGACGCGAAGTGGGACGCGTAAAGGGGAGGCGACGAAGCTTCCCAAAAGTCGTAGGGAAGTGTACGCAAATTAGTAAAAGGGGGTAGGCACGTTGATGAAGAGAGAAGAAGGAAAAGTGAAAGTGCGAAAAGTGTTTGATGAAGGTGTTGCTGGTCGAGGTTGAAACAATGATTGTGCTCGAGGCGACCGTGGATCGATTGAGTGGAGCTGCGACCATTCAAGCTAGTCTGCTTTCGGTGCCCCGCATCTACCAATTGCTTTTCGCCAACCCTGTTGTTTCAGGTTAGAGTTCACAACAACGGACAATGCTCGCAATGAGAAATGCCTCAAAGAAACATCCATGTCCTGGTGTATCTTCCGGACACGCAAGTATGATTTTTTGGGAGTTCATTCAGGTATGATTGCATATATATACACAGAAGTAAGCGTAAGGTTGTTAGACCTGATTTTGCCAGTTACAAAAAGCACTTTGAGGAGCAAGGGGAGGGCTGCAGGTACGCAGACTGAACCATTGGGCTGATGCGTAGCCGATGATATGAAGATTTCTGTGCTTATTCCATCGTTGCTCGCCGGTACGGGTCAAGATCGACAGTGTGTCTTTATCTGGTCACATCAGTCCTTGCCCTCTTTCGCGACCAATTAGCATCCCTAAGTCTGCTTGTGACTCCGTGAGCATCGTCCAGCTTGTGCTTGTCAGGAGACATTCTATCTCCCGAGCATGTAGCTGATCCCCAATGATTATTATTGCACTTGCTGTTGGTGACCATTTTGTCTTCTCGCGTCAGACTTGAAGACTCTGAACGAATTGTATGGCCATTCATATGCGTACCACTCTGCATCAATGCCATGTCCAGCGTCATTGACGTCACAGCGTTTTCTTTGTGGCCGCTTTCATCATCCTTGGTCTCCTGCACCCCACAGGGCTGTGTGCTGAGATTAGACAGATACTTCGCCTTCTGAACGAAGAAGCTGACTTTGTCTGCATGAGGCGTTTCCAGTCGCATGGTAGCAAGCTGCATGAGTTGACTCGGGCGTGTTCATCTCCTCAATCCGGCCACTAGTCTTATCTTGGGGGCATGGGTATTGTGAATCTGTGGCGCACGGTTGGACAAGGGCTTCGTTTGGTTGCTGTCGAGAGTTGATCACCTGCTGTTGCACGTCCGTCTTCTTCTGCCATTCCCGCTCACTCTTGCGCACCTCTGCCAACCATGCTTGATGAAGAAGATCATTAATCGTATTTTGGTGCACTTGCTCGATCTCACAATCGAAATCTAGTTGTGCATTTAGGTCCTTGATCCGCCGGTCCTCGGCTGTTTGACTGGCACGGATGATTTTGCTGACTGTACCTCGCAACTTTTTTATATATTTCACCAGCTTTAGAACACCCATGCTGGTTCTTGCAAGGGCATACTCATCTACAGATTTAATGACTGCATCCATATGGTCTGAAAGGTCTTGAAGCGGTTCATATGGGGCTGCTGAGGTAGACCCAGAACTGCTACCAAGATCATTACAGGAGCGTGCTTTGCAGAATTTGGTACCCAGGTGCTGGTCGGAAAAGGCCTTGGCTTGAATTTGATCACCGCAGGCTTCGCAAAAGGTATGATCAAGGGACCATGTTTTTGCAGGGGCTTCCTTGGCGCCTTCCCTTGGTGTCGGCCGCGAACTGCCTCGGTGGCTTTTTGTGTGAGGGGTCCGTGATTCCGTACACCCCTGCTGAGCTTGCTGATTCTATCACTATCGGTTTCGCTGTCACTGCTAGGCGTAGAGTGGGATAAGTCACCCCTAGCGAGACCTGGGCGATGGCTGTAAGTGGCGGGAGATTTACGTGAACCAGACGTATGATTTCCAGAGAAGGGAGTCATTTTCCAGATGAGTATCCTTTGCTAGAGGAAATAAGCGGTTGGGCGAAGTCACAAGTTGGTTACGCAGGCTTTGGTGGCTTTTGCAGCGATTGTTTTAGGGTAAGAGGAGAGCCAGTGCAACGTACAAACGAGAGGCGTGGCGTAAGATACATGTCCAGATGCAGTGGTGAGTGAGCCAAGGGTCTACAGCGCAGTGATATTCTTTAGGTTCACGGTGAACGCTAACTGTGAAGCCAGTGCCAGACAAACCTTCTATATGTGAACCTTTACGGTTACTCCATTTTGGCTGCACTGTCAAGAGCAGCTTTGCTACTTATCATACACGCCTATGTAATTTTCATCTCCAATTGTAGTTGTTTCTACAACTGTGAAATATTCCAGCATCTGCCCCGGATGTTGCGAGCAATCCAAAATCTAGTTCTTCTCATTGCGAGCGACGCGTGGGTATTGGAAACTCCTGGGAAGGATCATAGGTCTGCGGTTGGCGCTGTTGAAAGCCTGTGTAGCAAGCGGGGAACTTTCTGTGCGGATGGTGGTGCCAATGGCCATGAAGAAGCTGGTAGGATGTCAGCGCAAAAGAGACCGTAAGGCAGGCGACGCATACCCAAAGGTCGCGGCTGAACCCATCATGTATTGACCGAGTGTTCTTAGCATTCCATTTGGTCCTGGGCCGAATCGAACAATGTTGGTAAATCCTAGGACCGTTAGAACGAGTGCGGGGGACATTGACGGCTGTGCGAACCAAAGATGAAGCCAATGATCAGACCGACCGCTGTACACATGTTAGGGCGCTCGAATCTTGCATGTGTGGTTGTGGAGAAGCATACATCCACCCATCATGCCGCCCATCTTGACTGCATGGTGTTAGACGTTTTCAAGCAGATGCGAGCACGGGAGCATACGCTTGTCAAGCGTGGAGGGGCCATGGGCGCCCTGAGGCATGGATCCGACTGGCACAGGCATTGTGAGGGCGCTGCGAAGGACTGAGGGCGAGAGAGAGAGAGGGCGCGAGGGGAGGCAGAAATGGTTTGGCAGCTGCAGCGACGGTCCCGCATTCAAGCTTGCTCTGGCCGCGGCTCCAGCAGCAGCGCCAAGCGGACACCACCCAAGTCCGGGGAAAGCACAACCGTAGGATGCCCAAAGCAGCTAGCCGTGTATGTAGTCCATGTACGAGGACGTATGTATGTATGCATGTATTTTATCACTAGTTATTTGCTATTACGTAGTTGCACATGTGCTGCCAACACCTGGGAGATGAAGATGGCTGCCGGTAGCCAAGCAATTTTGGCCCACCCTGTCAGGACTTCACGCACACCCTGGCTGGGACACGTGACCATTGTAGAAGCCCCCTTCACGGGCGGCAGCGTGAAATGAGGCGAAAATGGTTTGGAGGCCCGTCCGGTGTTTCGCGTGCAGTTTGCAGTTGCAGAGAACGAGTGCTTCACCCACTCCCGCCCTGTCGTGTCCCATCTCGGTGTCTTTGCCGTGTCATTGTTTCGAAGCGGCAGTCTTCTCCACGCCCGCATCACGCCTGTGCCTGCGCCGTCGCCTCGCCCATCTGGCCACTAAAGCAGTGCAGTGAGACGAGCCCGACGACACCTCCTGCTCTCCCCAAACCGCCATCCATACCGCCCTCCCCCACCACCGCTCATCCACCAGCCCGGCCCACCCAACAGAGAGGCTGTTGCTGTGCTGTGTGCCTCCGTTGCAGCCTTGCGAAGCCCTGCACCATCGCTCCCCGACGTCGCACGGCATTCCGCCAGCCGCACGCACACACTCACGCCCACACCCACCTCCATACACCTACACATCCGCCAAACGACACCCGACACCTGACAGCTCTGCGCGAGTGTCTCCCGCCGCGACGCATGAGTGCCTGAGCGACTTGTGCCCCCATCGTGCCCTCGTTGCTTGTTTGGCGGCCTGTCACGCTGCTGTCGCGCCGCTAAAAACGGAGACCACGGGAAGCGTGCAGGAAAAGTGACGCTGGACTCTGTAAACACAACCTCGCCCTGCCCTCCCCACCACCTCGCCAATGACGGCAGTCGCGCCCCCCGTCAACTACCAGAATATCAACCGCCAGGCATGGAGCGCTGAGGGCGTCCCCAACGGCGGTGCCATCTTCATGCCGCGGAAGAGTGCACAGCGCTCAAACTCGTCGTCGAGCCTGTCGTCACAAGCATCTGCATCCTCCACCCTCTCTGCCTCGTCATCCTCATCACACCCAAACGGTACCGCCCCCCTCAACGCCGCCGACTGGGCTGCCACCCGCAAAGCAAAAGCCCCAAAGGGACTATGGCCCGCAACAAAGACTGAGCCCATCGCAGGAATCACCGCAGCACGAACACAGCCCATCGCTTCCGCAGGCCCTGGTTCCTCGGCCGCCTCGGCCATGAGCGCCCTCCAAGCCCCCTCTGCAATGGTCCCCTCGCAGCACAATGGCCCCGGCCAGGCCCAGCAACAGGCCAACGGCGCACAGCGGGCACAGGCCCAGGAGAGCACCGCCGTCCTGCACCTCGTCCCCATGAATGGCACATTTGAGCGCAAGACCATCACCGTCCCCTTCTTCCCCGACGTCCTCCGCATCGGCAGACAGACCAACAACAAGACAATACCCACCCCGCTCAACGGATACTTCGACTCAAAGGTTCTCTCGAGGCAGCACGCCGAGGTTTGGGCAGACCGACAGGGCAAGATATGGATCAGAGATGTCAAGTCGTCCAATGGAACCTTTGTCAACGGCTCCCGCTTGTCACAAGAGAATAGAGACTCGGAGCCACACGAGCTACGCGAATCAGACATGCTAGAACTCGGTATCGATATTGTCAGCGAAGACCAAAAGACCATTGTGCATCACAAGGTCGCAGCACGTGTTGAACATGCCGGCATATATACCCGCTCGAGTAATGAGATGATGGACCTCAATTTTGGCGAACTCGAAGGATCCCAAATGTCAAACATGATGGGTGGCGGCAACCAACAACAAATGCTGGGTATGCGAGGTCGCACTGGCAGTCAGAGTTCCATGAACGGCCAGCGGCTCCAGGGTCCTGGTGCCATGCCCAATTACACAAATGGCCTCCCACAACCGCGCCATCCTAATTTCTGGTTGCAGCCTATAACAATGGAGCAGGTAGTTAAGAAGCTCAATGTGAGTCCATCGTGATAAACACCTCTGCTTGATGTTGCTAACAAAAGTAGACGGAGATCAAAGCTGCCAAGCAACAGTCGCAAGATCTCCAACAAGCCCACCAATACATCAATGCTATCCTCTCAGCAGACCCCAAGAAGGAACCTTCCAAGGCATCTCCCATCAACCAAGTCAAGATCTCCCCAATCAAGGATAACAGTCTAAAGGCTAGGTTCTCAGACCCACCAGCTCCCCCGCCACAACAACCTTTGCCTGAAAAACCCGATGTTGCATCTTCCCTTAAGAGGTCAGACACTGAGCGCGCCAAGACCGGCTCGCCTGTACGCTCCGACCCGCAGTTGTCTTCGCTCACTGAAGCCTTGACCAATGCCAAGAAGGAGATTGAGCTGCAAGGCATGCGGTTACGCGATCTAGAGACTCTGTTGAACGAAGAGCGCCGCGCAAGAGAAGATGCTGAGGAGCGAGCAGCTCGTCTCGAGCGCGAGACAAACAGGGACCACAGTGATGCGGAGACTGTAGTAGGAGAGGACGACTCGGAAAAAATCGATCCGACTGAGCCAGAGCACGAAGAGCCTACTGGTTTGGAGAACGGAAACCCTGTCCCTCCAACTGCCGATGACACTGCAGCGCGGCTGCAGTCTTGTCTTGACCTGATGATGTCGGAAATGAATGAGATGAAGCAGCAGATGGAGCGCTACCGCGAGCGAGCCGAAAGCGCAGAAGCCAACAGCAAGTCGCTAGCAGAGATGATCGAAAACATCAGAAAGGACAATGCAAAGGCCGCCAGTAAGGACACTCTCTGGCGAAGCAGAAATGACGCTGCATCTGCGAAACCCGACGTAAAGGCCGATGCTGATGTCAATGAGGCTGAAGAGGGCGAAATCACCATTATCCGAGAAGATCTTGGCGACGATGGCCCAGAAGCGTCGCCCCCTGCGCAGAGCCAACAAAATGGGCATGCCGTTGCGCAGAATGGCTCAAAGCAGTCTGGGAAATCGACTGCCTTGGTCGCTCATAGGCTAGATCGAGATTCCATTTATTATGGTGGTCCGGTCGGAGCCATGGTGACGGTCGTTGCAATAGGTGTAGCCGTCATGGCCATGCTTAATCAATATCCCAAGGGCGAGCGTTGAGCAGACGAGTACAAGATGGAGTTCTGCTGCCCTACCGGAAGAAGCTGGTCTCCCGCGGCGGCGACATTAGAAGTGGCTTTTGGAGAAGACATGGTGTTCCTGGCCAACAGGCATGGCAGTGGCAAGAGTGTGAGCATTACAAGAGAAGAGGCCAAACATACAGGACATCGACATGTTCACCCTAGCAAGCTTGGGCCACACTACAACTCCTCCTGCTTCTTGCACTATTGGCCGCAGCGCTTGTTGCATTCCTTATGCACGATGCTGCGCAAGCATGACACATCTTTTCCAACATCATCGTTATGACTGCAACGACTTCACCAAATACAGCCATTCTGCCTTAGACATCCAATCGAATATCCAACAGCATCACCCACATACCGATACCTGGACACTTGCTTCAAACCACACCTAATGTCTTGTAACGACATTAGACCAGCACAACAACAACATTTTCTTTGCCTGTTTCCTACAACTCCGGCGTACACCACCTTGGCTGCCCCTTTGCGTCAGGGGCACGCCCATCTTTTTCTTATATATTACTCGGCGTTCGAGGGAACTAGGGACGGAGGCATTTTTGCGTGCCGCATACTTTGGGAAATAATCATGTCTGTTTTTTTCTTTGCGTCTCCTTAATTCGCTACATGGGAGTTTTTTTTCTCTCTTCACCTTTTGTTCAAGGGGTGTTGGCGAAAAGCAAGGGACATGCTACTTGTTCTTCTGCCTTGAGCCATACGCGCATATCGACGGACATTCTTTGGAAGGAGCGATGGGGGTTTAACTGACTATATTTTCCTTTGTTGCAGGGTTCTTTTCTTGTTTGTGTTGATTGGCTTTGCTTTGGAATATACTGGTTCGCTCTTCTTCCTTTTCTTCTTTCTTCTACTTCTTTGCGTTGGAAATTGGCATCACGGAACTTATGATGGGGCGGGGGGATCAGGAAGGCGGACTGTGTGTGTGTTGTTCGGTAAAATTGTGGAGGATAAGGCACAATTGGGGGAGTTAGTTGGAGGAGGGGAGGGGTGGAAACAAAGTCGCTCGTGATAACCTCTTTTTCCTTCTTCACATTCTCCTATGTTCCGGACAACCCTTTCTTCAATGATAAATATTTGCCTTGAGCCTTTTTTTCCCTTCCAATGCATGGCCTGGGATAGATTACCATGTGGTGTTGGTATGCTTTGTATGTACATACCAGAAAAGACTCATATCATCACTTGTTAACAAGAAAAAAGATATTCTGATGCGCTTTTTACTTGAGCCCAATACTAACATTCACCGAACTCACCATGCGTAACCTCGTCTCGGGAATCTCATCACCATCGCCCCCTCCTTCTTCCCGTCCTTGTTGCTCCCCTTCCACACTAACCTCTACATCATCAACCGCACTCACACTCCCCATCTCAATCCTCACCCTGCAATCCGCCTCGGCCTGGAAATACAACCCAATCTCCAGCGCCCGCGGTATCGCTCTCCCTGTTGCCTTGAGATACACTTCCTCTCCCCCACCTGCACCACCATCTGCACCACCCTTCCGCGCCGCTTCCCCCGCTATCTCGCGCTCCACCGTGCGCGCATCCAGCTTCCCATTTGCCTCTGCGAAGCGCCCTCTACCGAACGCTTTTTCCCGCGCGGAGATAGATTGCTTGTGTCGTTGGGATATTTGCGCCAGTAGCTTGCGCACGCGTTTTAAAGTGGAGATGTAAGGGCTTGAAGCGGTTATGTAGAGGACTTTTGGGTGCTGGGATGAGGCGAAGGGGGTGGGGAGGGCGGGGTGGAGGAGGGGTCGTTTGGATATTTTGGCGTCTGTGAGTTTGAGTTAGTAGGGAAAGAGAGGGAAGGAAGGAAGGAAGGGGGAGGGAGAAGACGTACTGGGTGGGAGTTTGGCGAGTTTTTGACGTTTTGAGCGGGTGGTGGGGTAGTGAGTTGAGGGTTGTGCTGAGGGTTTAGAATTCGGTTGACCCTTTTTTGTTGGTTTCTGAGGGGCTGTTGCTTTTTTACTCGCTGCTGTTGTGCTGGGCGATGAGGTAGTCTTGCTCGAGGGTGGTTGCCCGCATGGTGGTGTCGCATCAGTCATTGTGATGTCTTGAGCTGCCGAAGCTGGTTGAGTCTGAGCCTTGACCTGGCCGTTTACCGAGCGCTTCTTTCCAGCCATTATTCCGGGCGATATGAAAGATGAGTTGTGGTTGGGGAGGGAGGGTGAAAGTGATCTAGAGGGACATGTCGCGTCGCGTCACAAAATCTTTATCGATAAAGGCTATCGACGGCTTCGATTTCCCTCACAATCGCTCAACCCCACAACTCCCCCCCAAAGCATGTACATGTAATAATGACTTCTATAGTGAGCCCAATGCGGCAAAAACTCCTTCATATTCACCTCCCAGGCCTCGTCCCCTACGCCACAGCCGCCCGCCTGCAAGAAACACTCGTCTCCCGTTTCCTCGCCGCAAAGCCGCCCTCCACCACACCCTTACCTCCTCCACACATCATAACCGCCTCCTTCCACCCCGTATACACCTGCGGCCGCCGCGAAATCGGCAGCGTCTCCCCAGCCCAACAGGCCCATCTGCGTGCAGACGGCGGCGCCGACTTCGTCGAAGCCCTACGAGGCGGACAAACCACATTCCACGGACCAGGCCAACTCGTCGCATACCCGATTCTCGACTTGCGCTCGCACAAGCTCACGCCCAGACATTATGTTTGCCTTCTAGAAAAGAGTCTGATAGCCACGTGTGCGCGCTTTGGTGTCAAGGCTATGACTACGCAGCATACGGGTGTGTGGACGAGTCCCGATGATAAGATTGCAGCCATTGGCGTGCATATGCGGCGGAATGTGACGAGTCATGGGGTTGGGCTGAATGTTGATACGGATTTGTGGTGGTTTGATCGCATTGTGGCGTGTGGATTGGAGGGGAAGAGGACGACGAGTTTGCAGCGTGAGGGGTGCGAGGGGTTGAGTGTTGAGGGGGTTGGGAAAGTGTTTGTGGATGAGGTTGCGGAGAGACTTGTGGGTGTGGATGGGGTGGAGAGGTTAGGAGAGCAAGAGGTAGAGAAGATATTGAAGGTGTGAATTGAGGTTCGCCGTTGGATTCTCCGCTGTGAATGGTGTGAGGATTGAATAGTGGTGTGATTGGAGGAGATGGTTGATACCCGATAGAGATGTCTTTCCTGATAGTATGGCAAGTGCCTGGCTGTAGTATATAGATACTGTAGATCATTGTCTAGATATCGAGGCCTTTTCAATTACGAAAAGCCATAGCTCTCAATCGATTGATTATTGTGTGCCTGAGACAAACATTATAGACTCTTTAAATCAAGATGTCTAGAGTTTCCTCTGTCTCCAGTTCCCAAGAACGCTTGGTTCCATTTACTTCCTTACTACTCTCCAATTGACAAAATACTCATCTTCTTCTTGCACAATCTAAACACCTTCTTCTCGAATCCCTTGCAGTCTTACCAGGAAGAAAAAAGTTCCCATCGCACTAAGCTTCTCCGAATATCATCGGCTAAAACCATAGCACAGAAACCCTTTACTTTTTCCCTCCCATCCGCCCCTGTAACTAAAACTTACAAGGAACATACCCCCAACACAACTAGTGGCTTGCTGAGGATCCTCAGGGTCTTTTCGGCACAACGACTTAGAGTTTGACCGAGGGCGTGCCGGAGTCGGTCCAATTTTTATTTATCTACTTATGGCCTGTGTACTGTACCCTAGCCAAGACATCTGGTGATGTGTCGTTGAGTGCTATACTAGGTGCATTCGGAGACTTGATTTTTTGGAGAGAGGTGGTGTGAAATGGGACGTTTTTGGGTGGATGAGTTCACAGGGAGGGGGGTTTTGTGCTAGTTGTCCAGGTTGTATTAGATGGAGACTGGGTTCTTGCTTGTAGTAGTGATGCCGGGATATTGACAACAAACCTACGTTGGTATTTGGACGTAAGGTCGCATCTGCACTGTTAATTACCAGAAACTTCGAACCCTCAATCTGGCAATTAGGTATATGCATGTCTGTTTTCAATTTTCCTCTTCTTTCTCCCCCAGTCAAAAGAAAACATAGGGCTCAAGTGCAGCGAAAAGTGTGGTTAAATCAACGTACGTTGTCTTTTGTCTTTCCTTTTCCCTCCAACGCCTTTTCGCGCGTGCTTCGTATTCGCATAGTTGATGGGCATACTCAGATCACCAGACGAAATCAAAACAAAGCTACAGAAAAAACGTACGATTCAACATGACGAGAGATCTAGATTCTTGTTCTAGAAGACAACGGATGGTGGGACACGTCTGCCTCCCCAACATCTCCCACCGTAATCTCGACCACATGACATGCACACTCCAGATTCCAACATGTCAGTGAGCCCCTGTTCCTTGTCATTGGCTAATGTAATAACCACTTCTCTCCGTTTTCGCACACACGCACATATCTATTGACGTGATTCGTATGTCCCACAGATGCACAAATACTACCTCATTTTCTCTCACAGCCATGGCGGTAAATGACAACACGCGTCGTTTCCTGGGCATGCATTTGTATGCGTGCTAACACGCACAGCTCGTGATTTTTGTGGAGCTTGACGATCCAGCTGGAGCACCTGGCAGTCAGCCATGGCGCCAGCCAAACCAGATGAAAAAAAAACAAGATAAAAAACCCCATTCTGTCCTCAGCCCTTTTCCTTTCGATTCCAGAAGCGGATCTTGTAAAGACGCTTCGCCTGGCCGATCTGGAGGCGTTTTTTTTGTCTCGGGATTTAGGGGCGAGATCACTGCGCCCACTGTAGCCATGATCCCTGAAGACAGTTGCGTGTCTGCGCCGATAACCATGCATGGCTCGTTTTTTTGCTTTTTTCTTCAATCTTGTACGACAGAGGTGATGCGGCATGACATGTTTCTCATATAAACATGCGTAATGGTTGATGCTATAGTGATGTTTTTCTCCCAGCAAGGCATACAGTACGTCACATGCCCCATTTCCCCTTACTCATTCGGAAACCGGGTAATGGTTCTTTCTCGTGGCGAGGATATCAGCGATGCGGGCAGAGGCGTGGAAGTGTCTGGCCCCACTTAATCCGGCACCGATTGCAGGTCCCATGTTCAGGCTACTTGGTGACAGATCAATCCAAAGGACCCGAGGAGCTGGTCATTCGGATGCAGTCCTCATGTGCTGATGCGGGTACAGCATGGGGGATAACCCCATTTTCGATACGCGAACAAGCGCTTGTGGGCGTCTGCGCTAACATAGCGAGTATGTACAGGGGTTGTTGCAAAGACGGGAGCCACTAGTAATTCGCTCAGAGTTCCGCATAGAGAGCATGCTGATGTAATCTTAATCTGGCTTCGAGCCAACCAAGGACTTGGAACTGCAGATATATTTTCTTATTCATGGCTGTTAAGACTCCACTCGACGTTGGAGTTTGTGACACATTCTGCAAAGAGTCTTGTTTACCACGGGTTGAACGCGTAACCGAGCGATCCATCGTGTCTCGAAGCCCCTGTATCTCTCCGGCTCGGAGGTTGCCTTGTTGCACGCAACGTGGCCTGAGTTATAGATTTCGTGTAGTTTGGTATCTTGCATGACTATATTATTCATTACGCATATTCATACTTGAGGTTTGGCTACCCGCATTACGTATTTCTTCTGCTAAATGTGAAAGGGATGTTACAGCAACGCCGATGAAACACGCCACATTATTGGCCATGGGCCTCGGGAAGTCTTCCAGTGGCTTCCAGACATCTGCACCAATCTCAGAAAAAACAATCAGGACGCCATGGGCCATTTGGCATCTCATCACCGACTCTTATTCTGGAGATGTCGCCTGCCAAATGATAGCAGCAGACTCCATGAAATGCAATGGTACAATATCATTCCAAGTGTTGATAACAGATAATCACGGCTGCATATGGTCAGATCATCGTCCCTGAATGTTGTGTGGCTGAACTCACTCTGTACGACCCGTTCACAACCATGGGCTCGGTCTGCCCCACGACGGTGGCGTCAGTGTCCATACGCACGTGTAATGTCATCCCCATGTGCACTGTGCCGTTCAAGGTGTTTGCCGCGTTTTGCGCCAACTCCTTCGAGGCGAACTTGGCAGTGGCGGCGCCTTTGAAAGCCCTTGTCCTGTTGTCTCGGATGAACTGAATGTCAATTGCGTAACCTACAGTCTGTAACAACAGAGCATTGAGGTCATCCATAGTGCACTTGTGGCTCAAATTTCGAATGAAGATACCTCGAGCTTCTGTGAGTATGGCTCCCCCTCGGATGTTAACGGGAATTCCGTTGGTGGTGGTCGAGTACACCGGTGGGTTTGACAAAGGGTAGGCTGGGTAAGTTGGAACATGGGCGTATCCTGGCTGCTGCTGCTGCTGTGAATAGGCTTGCAGCTGTGGGTATGTCGAATACATGTAGCCAGACTGTGCTGACATGTATGGGGCCGACACTTCAACAGATGCCGCTCTGCCGCCCCCCAACTGGTTCACTCTTGCAATGTCAATGCCGCAACGCCCAGTGGAGTGGCCACCTTCTGGGATTTCAGGAAATGCGGTAGAACAGTTACAGCGCATCAACCGGTAACCGTCACCCCTACGGCTGGTTTCCCAAACATGCACAAGCATGCCTTTGGCTCTGTGATATACTTCTGCTATCAAATCAGTTATGCCTCACCGTTATTTGGGACCGAGTATACATACTGAACACTGCATCTGCATCTTCCCTGTCTTTTAGTCGACACCATCCTTGCATCTCTCCTCTTCTATGACCCTGGCTCGAGTACACATCAGCCCACCCTGGTTGCTCCTTGACTACTTTACGAAGATGATCTTTGAATTCCTGCCATCCAACTAGGTATGGTGCATAGCGCGTGACGCCAGATACCACGAGCAAATAGTCTCCATCCCCCTCTTTCAATGAGCCTGGGTACGACATGCCGGCGAGAAGCAAGTAGCTGAAGTTAAGGAGTTTGCAAATGAACAATTGTATAGCTTCCAGGTACAAATGAGACAATATAGCTTTTTCAGGTATACCCTATAATGATTGGGAGTATATGAACAGAAAATAAAGTCTAGATTTAGAAGATAGAATCGTACAAGATGACTTCTGGGACATATGGTAGTACTGGCGCTGTTCTTATGCCTTCTCTTCCGCGGACTCATCAAGGTCATGTTTCTACCGGTACATACCATGCCCTATTAATGGCTGAGAGTTTTCATTCTGTCGTCGTCCAGGCTCACTTGGCTGGCATGGGTGGTGGCGTCAAGGGGGCGTCGAAAAATGAGGCCATGGGGTCCACCCGTTTCCCCGAGGTCTTTGCTAGGGCCGTACCCGAGCGGGTGACCGCGATCCTGCAGGACCATGAAGTATCATTGGATACGCCGCAAAAGAGATACCTCATGATTATTGTCGAATCATTCTTGAACCTCCGTCAGCTCTTCCAAACACACCGCAGCACCTACGAAGATCTCACCGCTCTTCAGATTGGACGTCTCCAGCAGACCGCATCTTCAGCTTTAGCTGTGCATTATATATCGTGTAGCGCGGCTTTACGCACATAGCCGGGCAAAAGCAATTCGTGTTGGTCTTGGCTTGCAGGTTAAGATATGTTAATTGAATTTATCGACTATACGGTGGTTCTCTGAAATAGCTAGATACAGTATTTTTGGCTCAGAATTAGTGAAGTGGTCAAACTAGGAGAAATTAAAAGAGCTCTATAATTACTCCCTTGGGTCAGAAATTGTAGTGCTGAAGCTAGAGCGTAACAACTATATCCCTACTTATGTCACCTCCTTATAAAAGAATCGTTGAACTAATTTAGAGCTTACACTTACCGCACAAGGCAAGACTGGTGCAGAAACTAAGGAAATTATGGACAAGGTTAGAGAAGAGAATCAACCAGCCACCTAGCAGATCAAGGGATAGCCTCCAACTCAAGCATTTCCCTCTTCAGCCTTCTTCTTCTCCGCATCTATCTTCTCTGTCGCCCCAGAAGCTGCTAAACAAGCAACGTAGCTTAAGGCATTCATCAAATATTACATATAAAATAGGTAAGTTTCAATAGCCTATCTAGTAGTGCTATAGAGAGGTAGTTATAGCTCAAGCTCTACTTACTACCATAATCTGCGGGGTAATAGAATTTTAGCATTATATCTGCTTCTTCAAATACAATAGCTTCAATCGAGAGTTGTGAGAGCCGCCGATTTTGACGATCTAGCAATTATAGTCAATGATATTGTGACGTTTATGGACAGCTGCAGATTCTAACCTACATAATCAACAAAGTTCGCGACCGACTCCTCCTCGCTCTGTACCGAGGCTCCACTTGTGAAAAAGCGGGCTCATTTTGTTTTAACAGCTATGAGTAATTCGGATATCGGGTGGCTTGGCTCTGATGTATAAGGCCGCTTCTTATCAGTCAGGCGTTGGCTCATCGCAACGAAGTCGGTCTGAAATTGACAAATGCAGACAGTCGAGAGTTTTGTCAACTCAATGGGATCTCCAAACAATGAGCTTCTGGTCGAATCCACCGCTTATCAGGTACTCGCCCTTTTTGTCATTGTTTATGATGTGACCAGACCAGAGGCAACGGAGTTTGGAACCTGGGTCGTGTGCCTCCAGAGATGAAACCAGTTTCCCGCTCTTTGCCTCAATACCGCGTACGACTCCGTCATCAGAGCTTACATACACACCTGAACCGTCCGGACGCCAAACCAAGCGTGGCGTTGAGTAAGATGTTTGTGGCGCCAGAGTGGATACGTTGATTAATATAGCGGCTTCCTCCTTATCCGAAACAGCTAGTTCAGCTCGAGCTTGCGACGCTTGTGTGACGGCTCCATCGGAGTGTGCATTAACACCTGCAGCGGGTCCAGAAGAGCGTGTTGGGGGGAGCAGAAGTTTTACTATCAGTAACTTCATGTGTGGCGTGCTGCACGCGTAATAGATTACATATTAGCAGTTGTACAGTATCACATGCATCTCAAGCGCATAGACTCACCTCGATGTTGCGACAGCGACCATGTGTGGATTTGTAGGACAGATCTGTATATCAGAGGGAGTAAACGCCACCCAAGCGTTTGAGTGAGGAGCAAGGTTTTGCTTTCCTAGAAGGGTGAAATTTGGTGAATCTGAGCTGGGAACGGAGTAATAATGCAGGAATGTAGAGTCTCTTCTAGCAACTATGAGGGCGGGCGTACCATCTCCAGGCAATGTAACAAACATGGTTGATTCTGGTATACTCGGTAATGTTAAAGTTGCTATTGGGTCCCCGAGCCTTGGCATTTCGGCGCTGATATTGAGCTTGTATAGGAATACCTTAGCATCCCAACCTGCGCTTGCGACGAAGATTGAAGTCCCGTCTGCCGAAAAAGTAGATATCTTGACGAGATACTTGCTGTGGTCCTTGCGCTCTTCTATCACAGTGCTGCTGGCTGTATTGAATAGAGTCAGCTTGCCTGACATTGAGGCGATCAAGATATGCTGAGTATCTGCAGGTACAACATCCAAAGTCGGTGAATCTTGGAAACCGGAAAATGTGTGAGCAAGCTCAAACTCTTGAGTGTGCGGATCCATCAAGTGTAAGTGACGGTCAGCAGTAGTGACTGCAATGTACTGCCGAACGTCTGTTGCAGATGGTAGCAAAAGATCCAAGACCGCTACGCTAAGTATATTCGACCGATTTGGGAGAGTTCCTACGACCTTCGGATGGGCAGGTGCTTGAATAGTCCATTCTTGCTCGGTGTCATCAATACCAAGCTTTTCAAAGTTGAGGCTAAGATCGAATTTCTTCTTCTCTTGCAAGACAGACTCAATCGTGACCAGGTCATTGGGGGCTGCGCCAATGTCAGGAGGCAGTCCGGCTTCCTGCACGAAGCTGCTCAACGTCTAATCTGGTGTTAGTGGGTGTGTAGCAGCTCAAGGATGAGGTGACGTCACCTGTTCGTATCCATTAGCTCTTAGAAATCGCGCCACTAACTCGGCTGCAGATGGAAGCATGGTGTTTAATTGAAGAGGTTGCTTTTTCAATACTCTGTGAACTGGCTGACTTCAAATAGACATGTCCCGTGTAGGGGATGCATAGTGGTTCTGGTGAGGGGAGACTGGATGGAGCTAACCGTCTTTATCGATAGTGATGGTCCCCACAATGTACCCCAAAGAAGATTCTGTAGAAGAAAAAGCGTCACAACAAGAACACGGCGACTCGCCATTCAATACTTGTTAAAAATGGAGGCAAGTTGCAATTTGCAGGGTTTCATCGCCATCCCTGACCATGGCAGAATATGACTATCCTGCGTCGACAATTGACTGAGAAATTGGTCGCACTGCAGCACGCTACGCCTGAGCAGCCTTACAGCATTGCGCATCGTCTGAACCTAGCCAGAGCCTACAAGAATCTTGGCTATCCAGATCTTGCCGCAGGAGATGCCTATAAAGCACTGATATTAGTGGATGAGCTGGTTGAAGAAGGCGAATACCATGATGAAGCCCTAGAGGCTGCACGCACAGATCTTATTCCAGAAAAAATGGCCGACTTATCCATAAATGCCGAAAAAGAAGCGATTCCTTCAGAGTACGAAGACATCACGAATTATGCGCAAACACAGTGGTCAAGAACAGCGTAAGTAAGCTATTTTGGATTTGTTGAAAGATTCAAGAGAAGCTGATTTGTCAAGGCATGATATCCTTATCGAAAGCCTGTTGGACTGTGGATGTTTGCGCAGTGCGTTTGACTACATTGCTCGCGCGATGAAAGCATTCCCTGATGATGCTACCTTCAAAACTCATGATGACTCTTTGTCAAAATGTCTGAAATCCTACTGTGAGCAGAACGGAGAAAGTTTTGAGGATATCGAGGTTGATGATTATCCCGACAAAGGACTTGTTCGCCGAGAAAAATATTCCTGGAATGATCACGAGCCAGATCGGTTCTCAGCCAAGTGTTTAGATTTTCTCAATGAGGAACTCACAGACATAGCACCAAAACTAGAGGTGAGAGTCTCTGAGTTGCCTCTTCTCGCCACTACCTCATCTGTAGACGGGAAGTCTCCTGAACCACAGTACACCAAGCAACTCGGGTTATTTGCCAAGGAGGATATAGCCCCTGGAGAAACCATACTAGAAGAGAAGTCGCTTCTCACTGGTATATCAAGACTACACGAGTCATATTGCGATGCTTGCAGCATACCTCTCTCGCAATCCGCGGACACAGCCAGCGAAAACATAACGTGTGAAGAATGCAACGAGGTCTTCTTCTGTAGCGAAGAATGTCATGACCTCGCCCAAGATCACTACCACCCTTCGATATGTGGAGTAAGCGTCGACCAAAGCAAGGTGTCTGCTCGTGAAGCAGCCGATCATCTCTATAGCCTTCTGCTTGTTCGCGCACTGGCATTGGCAGAGACCCAGGAGCTTCACCCCCTAGAGCTAAAAGAAGTTCGCTACATTTGGGGTGACTATCATGGCAAAAACCTCGATACTGCGTGGCAAATTGATTCAGCAGGTCATCTGACTGATCCTTTTGCAAATATGCCGCAAACATTGTCCTTTTCCTTCAAGAGTAATGTACTCATGCCAATTCACGTTCTGGAGCAGATGGATGTGAACATCTTTACCAAAAGCGATCGCTATGACACCTGGATTTTCAACACACTGTATGCTAAATTCCGAGGAACAGCGTCCGCGCAACAGGGAATGGATGGGAGACCTGAGATTAGCGCTGTTCACCCCATGTGGTGTCTTGCAAATCACAGCTGCGATCCAAATGTGGCGTGGGAGTGGCGTGGGTCCATGCGGTTCTGGACACGTAAGGAGCTCGTAGACTGGAAGGGTAGAGACCCGACCAAGGGACCTGGGCTGAAGAAAGATGAAGAGGTGTTTGGTCACTATTGCGATGTGCGGCTTCCAGTCAAGGAAAGGCGGGAGTGGGCTGTCGGAGCGCTGGGAGGCGATTGCATGTGCACCAGATGCATCTGGGAAGATGCGGCCGAACGCAAGTAGGATAACTCGCAATAGGTGGCTTATCAACAATCATGGTATTGGAAAACCCGCTAATCTGGCGCCATCTTTCTGCGGGTATCAAGTTCGTTCATGACTTCTATGAATAGTGCGCTTGAACTGTATCGGCTGAATCGGACATGTCAGACACACCAAACGACAGAAAACGAAGTTGATGCAGGATACGTAGAGGAGGATCAAGATATGGTATTCAAGATGGTTTCGATGAGACCAAACCAATCTCAGCAAGCGTACTGCGCCTCCATAAACCCTAAACGGCATTGTGCATGTGGTAGCAGCATATATCAGACCACAATCTGATCCTTATCAAGCGTGCCACCAGATCTCCACATTTGACGCGGATTAGGGCCCCTGCATCATGTCCAGTTTGTGTGAAGCAAGCACATTCTTTCGCTTACCTTTATAGGATCTTGGTGCACTCAACATCTACACGCGTTTAGTGTACTTTTTTGGCTAGTAGTGAGTGCCGTCACCTTTGCATTGCATATACCTGGCATACGCTTCGTGCCGTAGCCTCAATATGCGTTTTGCCGACTGCCGCTTGTGTTGCATTCTTCCTCCACATCACCATCTCCCACCAATCGCAAAGCGCCATCATCGGCTGAGGTTTCGCAACGTGCCGGTACCCGTATATGTAGTGACCAACTCCTTTCTAGCCTACATCCCGGTCCCGGGTACTGAATGCATCTGATCAGTGGACTTCCCGACGCTAGATATTGTTTTTTTCAGCCTCACTTACACCCGCAAACTCCTCATATACCTTTCTATGCAACGTGCGTCAGAACTTGTCAAGACGTTCAAGCTGACTTTGCAGCTGCTCCGAACCCGACCTCGATCTTGATGTTAGATTCATCTTTTGCTGATTCTAACCATGTGTGTTTGCACCAGATTTCCTCGTATCTAGCGTTGTCAACGGAGTATTACTGATTTCCGTTGACTGCCCCGGCTATTGGCACCCTGGGTGCGCTCATATATTAATTGTGGTAACGGAGGCGTTAGTTGGTAAGAGCTGGTGGTAACGGATGACGCCGGTGGGCCGTTCAGCTTCCACTACATGGAGGGAGCCGCGTGAATGCGCAATATTGCCAGTGTCATATAACCCACTTTGGGGGAATCACTAGAAGCACGAAGCCCCATTTCAACGATTCTGCAAATTTTATTGGATTTTAAGCCTGCCACACAGGCGGTGAGCCTTATTCCCGACAACCAGGTTAGTATTTCCAAATATGGCAATAGGCGCTCTGGCTGTGCTACTACGTTGTGACGTATAGGAGAAAGAGAAAAGCCACATTATTTAATCGACAGGGCTTTTTGATGTATGTAAGATATATCAAGTGCGGATACGGGAAGGCTGATCAATCTACGAAGGATTTGCACTGCACGAATCATGCATGGCGTGGCGGATCTAGACTACGCAACCCGTCCCGAAATGTGGGGAAGGGGTTTCGATTATGATTCTGAGCTTTGAGTTGCCTCATCGAAGCTCGTATCTGGTACAAAGGTCAACAACCTAATATTCATACAGAGAGCTTCTTAGAGCTTCTTAGAGCTTCTTAGATCGTGTCTCTTCGTGCACGAAAACCCGTCGAGGACTGATTGTAATATGCAGCTAAAGCTGCAACTATATTGACGAAGGTTTTTGGATGAAGAATGCAAGCAAGGGCTTACATGTCACATATGAAAGCCCCAACAAAATGCACGGCGGATATACGTGCCCCCACGTACATACAGCAACAAGACGGGCACCACACCCCCTTACCAAACAGAGAAGCCAGGTAACCTCAAGCTACGCCACAAAATCCAGACATACGAAAGCAAACCAACTCTCCAATTATTCAAATCTATCTGCTTCACTCTTGTGCCTCAATCCTTACCAACCAACTCTGGTAACATCCGCGATTGGACGCGGCGCTGTTTCTCGGCTCCTCAGACTCAGTACCAAGCTTTACAAGAAAAATTGCATCATCTACACTCGTATCTTATGTAACTATCTAGCATACCAGATTCACTCCATCACACCCCAGCAAACGGAGAATGCCAAGCAAGCCACTTACCCTCCCAAATAACCCCCATGGACCCGGCAAACAATCAGAAAGCAATTCACACACACCTTACAATACCATACCATAACACAGTCATGCCACGCCCAACGCACATGTATGTAACCATCCCACTCTCTTTCTGCACACACACAAACACACGGATACCTACCTACCCACCTACCCACTCACTTCCCCTTCTACTCAGTGCCACCCCACTCTTAACCAGGCAGCAAAGTGGCAGTGTCTCAGCGGCACGGAAAGCAGGCCCAGAAGTAGCACTGTAAGCAACGATACTGCAGCTATGGACAGGCGGTTATGTAGATACTCGCAGATCCGTGGAGAAAGGCAGGGTGGGATGGCGATGAGTGCATGGATGCGTGTACAGGGTTTGGAGGATGGAGGGTTATGACCTTTTCTAACATGGGGTTTGAGGGGGGGATGGGGAGATGGAGGTATGTGCGGCGTGGAAAGGTGTAGTCTTGCTCCTTTGATGAAAAGGCAAAGAGGATGTGATGAGAGATGATATGAAAAGTCGTTCTCGTCTTTGACAAAGTAAAAAAAAAATCATGTTAAAAGAAAAAGCGCTGGTAGGCAGTGCAGTAGGCTCCGGCAGATCAAATAAAAAACTTAGTAAACGACTCGATCATTGGGTTCATCGAGTAATCGTATAACAGCAAAACCCTCGACCAGTCAACATTTTACATGATCTCCCCCTATTCATTCGTTGGATATACTCAACTACTCTATACCACGCCAGGCGCACTCAAAAAAAAATATACAAGAGAAGGTATAGAACATATCTTCATTACCTTCAAAAAGCCCAGCCCCTTAACCAACGTACACAAAAAAACCAGAGTTATCACATCAATCGTCTTACATATCCACATGATAGCCCACCTTACTCCGTTGCACTAACCCACCGCCACCACGCCGCAGGCACCAACCCCGTCTCCATCCCACATGCCCTCGAAACAGCCACAATAACAGCACCAAGGACACTAACACCCCCAAGGACCTTAACAAGCGCATAGCTCCTTCTCTTAAGTTCGTCGCTGAGATTGCACAAGCCAAGGGGATCGCGGGAATCAAGTCCACCCATAGCTCTAGCATAGCGATTTCCGATACTGCACGTATTCTTCTCGTCACTATGTCTAACCATTGCCCATTCGGCTCTGGGCGCCGCATCAGGAGATGTTGCGACCAGTGAGCCTTTGGCAGCTTCTTCGTTGACGCATTCAAGCATCCATCTAGCGCGTTCTTTGCTTTGGAGTTCATCGAAGCGGTCGCGTTCGTTGCGGCGGCTGCGCTGGAGATCCGTGGCCCATCTTGCGATTCGGATTTCGCTGAAGCGTTGGTCGCCTTGCGCAGAGTGGCCGTATCGTGCTAGAGAGAAGTTGGCTGAGGGCTCGAGGGCTTCTGAGTTGGCGAGGGATGTGGATGAGGCGAGGATTGGGGATTGGAGGTTTGAAGGGTAGAAGGGCGATCCTGAGCCGGGTACTAGGACACCTGATGGTGAGGTGGCGGAGAAGACGGAAGATGCTAGAGATGCTGGCTCAGAGGTTAGCTTTATTATGGAATATGGTATTGCTATGGCTTACGATTAGAAGTAACTCCGTTGAGTCCTATCGATGCTGTCGTTGGACTGCGTGGTTGAACGATGCTTCGCACCATGGTCGACTCGCCAGGAAGATTTACCCTATGCCGCCATGCCACGAACTTCTTTGCTGCAGAATGCCTGAGCCAAGTAATAGAATCGGGATCGAATACTTGGTTCACTAGTGCTGTCAACTCTGAAGGCAAAAGAGGTTGCACATAGTCTGGCGACATAAGCACCGACGCATCCATGGTGTCATGGTCCGGGCCAAGAGTAGAGGATACTGCGTATGGATAGGTGGGTGTAGTAAAGGGATACTGGTTTCCTTCGTTTGAAGCACTAGATACTGGAGGCTTTGATAGAGAGAGGCCCTGCACATCAAGTAACGCATCGTCGATGGTTTCTCCAAAGAAAAAGGGTCTAAAGGCGGTCGTTTGTAACTGAGCGAGGATGGAGGTCTTCAATGCTATAACCTCGTGCGCAGAAAGGGTATCCGATTTCGCTATAATCGGAATGATATTGGTAAGATATGACAAACGCTGCATATACTCAATGTCTTTGCTGATATCTTTGCCTGTCAAATGTCAGAAATAAATCATAAAAAAAACAACAACTTAGATTACCAGACGATAGCAGGTAAATTACAACGTCCACAAGGACGCCACCATTACCGCTGACAAGTCCGAGCGCATCGCTATCTTCCAGTGATACGACTGAAGAAGTCTGGTAAAAGAGAGATTCCACATAGTTGACGATGGTACCTATGTCGTCTGCTTCTGTCGGTCCTGGTGAGTATCCGGGGGTATCGACAAAACAAATGTTCCTCTCCAAAACACTGTCGCAACTACCCTTTCTCTTCTTTGGTGCACGAGAGTCGTCCAAATCAGTCCACCAATGCGGGTAGGGCTTCGTGCTTGCATGAATCTCTGTCACTCGTGTAGTACCTGCATGTTCTGGTTTCCTTGCACGGGATTTGGACCTGGATGCACGTGGCCGCGAGATTGACTGGGGGGCTGGTAGAGGATCTACGTGTACAATGTCTTCGCATGCCTGTACGATGGATCGAACGAGAGACGACTTGCCGACTCCTGTGTCATACCGTCAGTATCCGATACGCTGCACAACAGCACGTACTGTAGACGCCGAGTATTACGCACCTGTTTCACCTACAACCATCACCTTTAGCTTACTCATAGCCTTGCCTTTTGTCGTAAAAGGTCGTCTCGTCGGCATTTGCATTACGGGCATGACAAGCTGTGGAAAAGATAGGCCATCCTGCTGTATCTCGACATGGTCCTCCTCGCCTGCGCCAGACATGGCAGCTTGACTAACAGCTTCATCCATAGTGGAATCCTCGTCAGACAGTTTGAGCGAGGTTATCGAAGCAGATGTCGGTGTACTAGGCATGGCAGAAGTAGGATATGGGGAGGACACGTCTGCGGTAGGCAGCTTCAAGGGTGTATAGGAACCGTGGTTGGAATGATTTCTCTTCAATTTCCAAGTCTTGTTTGCCCTGGCATCGTCTGGCAACGTTGCTGAATCAATCGACGAGCCATGCGACACCGGCCTTGGGCTCTTTGCGCCATGGCCCTTTGTTCTCTCTGCCTTGAGCGAGTCGGTGCGCTTTGGCGCATCCTCGGGACCAAATGCAGCTTCGAGTGTATCTGCGAGACTTTGCACTCCGTACGTGCCGTGATCCTCGTGTCTTCCCGAAGAGGTTGCAACATGAGGCGGAGCTGCGGTCTGCTCCAGGTCCTCGAATCGCTTGAAGACGAAGGAAGTGGGTACATGGGATACAGGGGCAACCGGGTCGATGCTCGACTTGCGAGAGCGCGGCTTAACAGCAGGAGTGAGGGCGTCGCCGCCCGGTATCGGTCGCATATCGGCAAGATGTTTGGGGCATATGGCACCAAATGCAGCTGTCGAGGTGTTTGGCCGCAGGAGGTTTGGTACTAAGCCTCGTTCAAGTACCGAAGTGGTGATGGCAATAGGATGGATGCACGCGACGGCCCCCGCCTTCGCCCCGCGGCGAGCTACTGCACTGCTAGTCTCGCGTGGAACGCGTCAATGCGCCTTAGCAGTCGTGCAGACAGCAGACAGCAAAGGGGGCGAGTTAATGTTTGACAAGTCCTAGGAAGAGGACAGAAGGTTGGAGGTACAGTCAATGCTACCCCATAGTCGTGGAGCTATTGGGCTGCTGCCGATCCAAAGTAGCCTGCCTCATCCTCGAATCAGCGATCAGCGCGCCTACATGAGGGCTGCATGATACATTATCAGCTGACGTTATCGCGACGCCGCCGAGATCCTATGATACCACGGTAGCTTCAAGAAGATGCCTTGATATATATGTAATATGGCACATATTGTATTCGTGCTAGAGCGCCTTTACGATTGCTTTTCCCATCCCCGTCTCATCATGGCCCTGTACATGTCATGCTGTACACGCCTGTCTGATTTTGCACCCGAATCCATTACACCAGATGCCATGACAGTCCCCAGCCCGTACCTCTAACCGTCACGTCGCCCACCCTATACATTAGGCAACCAGAAATGCGCGCAAACAAGAAAAGGGAAACAAAGGGCTGGACGAACACTTATGAGTACACAAGGAAACCATGCTGAAATGAAACCGCTCGCTATGCAAGGGCTCAAACCCCCAAAGACGAACGCGTGCGCCCAGACTTTTCCTCGAAATGAAATGACTTTTATACAAAGCGCTGAAAAAAAGGGTCGAGTACAGTACATAGCTGAAGCCGTCAGTCGTTAGGCCATCGAGTCGAACGAGCTCAACAGGGAACGAACGAAGAATATGGAAGACAGAGAGAGAGAGGGAAAGAGAGAAATAGCCGACCAAAGTCGACCTTTAAGACTCCTGAGCCGCACCGCCGCGGCCGCGCATAGAACCACCTCGGCCACGAGGCTGGAAGTTTCCACGAGGCGCCTGGCCGCCCATACCGCCACGGCCACGAGAAGCACCACCACGAGCAAATCCCCCACGGTTGAATTGCCCAGGGTTCTGACGGCGTTCCTCGACCTTCATCTCGATGCCATTGACCGTGTGAGGGTTAGCAGCGACAGCGGCCTGGAATCCGGCGGGTGTCTTGAAGTCAACAAAGGCGCAGTTCTAAACGCATGTTAGTTCTGCAGCTTTTCCATATGCACATGTAGTTTCACTCACCTTGCCACGGCTGATGTCAAGATACTCAATCTCGCCAAACTTGGTGAGAGCGGCCCTCAGAGCACCCTCCTCGACTTGGCTGTAGACGTTCTTGATGTAAGCACGCTTCTGGTCGGGGTCAGCGGCAGGACCGGCGTTCTGTGCACGAGACTGCTCCTTCTTGTGTCCAGTAGCTGTTTGCCAGCCGGCAGCCTCACCCTGGCTTGTGACAGGGGACTGCTCACGGGCGGGTGCAGCAGGCTGGCTGGGCGTAGCGGCTACAGATTGAGCAGGGGCCGAAGTGGCGGCAGCAGCAGCAGCCTTGGGCTGCGAAGCAGCTTGCTGGGAGACGGGGGCGTTCACAACAGGAGTAGCAACCTTGTGTGCAGAGGCGGCGAGGCTAGCCCAAGTGCGGGGAGCAGCAGGCTTTGGTGGGCCAGAAGGCATCGCGACGGTACTGGCCTTCTGTGCGGGTTGGGCTGGTGCGGCAGGCTTCTGGGGCTCAGTGATCTCCTCAGCGGGGGCTTGGGGTTCCTCGGTAGCTTTCTCCTCAACAGCAGCGGGTGCCTCTTCCGCAGCGGGTTGTTCAACCTCCTCTGGTACCTGTTGGGCCGGAGCTGCGGGTGTAACTTCCTCCACAGCAGGCTCCTCCTTTGCAACCTCCTGTAGTTTGTCATCCACCTTGTTCAAGGTCTCGTCGCTGGTTGCAACCTCGTCGCTCTTGAGTTCAGTATTCTCGGGGACGACGGCGGTAGGAGCTGGTTCGGTGACACCGTTGGCGGGCGCAGCTTGCTCTTGCTGCTCTTCCTCCTCTTCGGGATCCTCTGCGAGGTAACGGAAGATGTCGTTGAGAACAAAGTAGCCGTTGGTCTGCTCGGCAAGGACAAAGGTTTGGACAAAGCGCTTGTGAGGCTGGCCCTGGTTGGAGATTTCACCAATTACTTGGATCACGATGTTGGCATCGGAGCCCTGCGAATCGACATTGGTAACGCGGACCTTTGTGTCCTTGAAGTCTAGCTCCTTGATGCGCTCGTTGATCGCCTGTGCTCGCGTCAGTTTGACATAGTTACTCGACGAGTGTTTACATACCTTCTGGCCCAAGCAAACATTGACCTTCTCTTCCTCAACGCCCGAAACGTACTGCGAGCGCTTGTTGTAGAAAAGCTAGAGTTTGGTTCAGCGACATGTCTCGATGAAGGGTTGATTGGCATGTGCGACTTACGTAAAGTCGGTCGGGGCTCTTGCTCAAGGTGGTGTAGTACTGCTCAACAAAGTACCACCCAACCTCGTCCTTTGGGATTTCAGAGGCAGTTGCTTGTTGTGCGGGCTGGCTGGCGGTTGGTTGCTGCGAGGGTGTGAAGTTGGAGGCGCCGGTGGAGTAGCTGTTCTCGTATCCCTGTGGCGCATAGTTGCCATTGACAGGGCCAGATGATTCGGTGGATGCCATTTTTGGGTATGGAGGGGGAGGAGTAGAGGGCGTGTGGACCGAAGGCTGCGACGGCTTGTTAAATGGTTTGCGCGAAGAGGAGCGGGGATTCGGAAGGCAAAATGGAAAGCTGGCGAACGTTGTCTGTGCGTCCGCCGCCCAATCAAGCGAACCCGTCCAACACGTCGTCTACACTACCCACACACATCACCGCTGCGTCTCTACCCTAAATATGGGACAAGGTCAAAGATCGAGGGAGGAAAGAAGACTTCTGGACTGGAATCAGGGGCCTCTTGAAGAAGCTTTTAAGGAGTAATGCCTTCCTGCCTAATATGTATGGTATACATGTAAAGTAGTCTACGGCGATGACTACGTGTTGAAGAAGCAGAAAACAGGATGAGAGATGCATGGTAGAATGAAACCCGTGTATGCATGCCCGTCCTGATGCGCGATGGCAACCTGCTCACTCTCAACCATCATCTTGGTCCTTGTGTCGTTGTTGTCAGTCCCCAACTCAAGCATGATCATCTACCTTCGTCTCCTTGGCCTTCTCAGCCCTCTCAGCATCCCGGATCTCAGATTCTGCGATCTCGATCTTCAGTTCCTCAGCGCGCTCGGCCAAATGCACCCTGAGACCATCTTCCAGTTCTGCCTTCCAGTTCTGACGCTCCTCACACGCCACACGCGCAAGTCGCTCAGCTTCAAGAGTTGCCTCATGCTTCTTGACCAACTCCTGATGGTCAGCTTCTAGCATTTCCTTATGCTCCTTGACAAACTCCTGACGCTCAGCTTCTAGCATTGCCCTACGTTCCTCGCGCCACATACGTTCAGTCTCGCGCCATATCGGCGCGCACTTTGTCCAGAATAGAGCAATAAAGAACAGTAAAAGGAATGTAAACCAACCGATGACGATGGTATTGAATAGCATGTTCCCTTCGTCTGGGCGCTCGAGTTCATTCAACTTTGTGTCGTGGTTCTGTTGGTTGCCAACTCCTGGTCCATGGTTCTTGAATTCGTGCACGGTGGTGTTGAGGCTGCGGACCACGTCAGTCAGGCCGGTGATGGTATCGTTGAGGCTGCGGACCATGTCGGTCAGGCCGGTTAGGCTGGTCAGGCCGGTGTTGAAGTTGCGGACTGCGTCGGTTAGGGCGTTGATGACACGAACCAAGTTTGGATCGTAGGCCATGACGACGGAATTGCCAGCCATGGCGGTGTGTGTCTAGGTTACTGGGTACATTAGTGAGAGCAGTACTTGAAGGAGAAGTACTGGGACTATGATACCTTGGTGAGCTTGGTGAGCTCGATGAGTGATGCTTGTTGGGTGAGTGATGTTTGTTGGTGGGGTTAGGTTGTAGTGGAACGGAGGAGGATGGGTTGTAGTGGAACGGAGGAGGATGGGTTGTAGTGGAACGGAGGAGGATGGGTTGTAATAGGTTGAAGAGTTTGTTTATATAGCCGTGTATGGAGGGTGAGCTTTTGTGCCTGGACGTAGGCAAAAGTGGTAGGTTCGTCTCAAATGGCAGCAACAGTGGGGGCGATTGCAGGAAGAGCTGCTGAACAGGCCATGTCATGGGTGCCAGCACCACATGATTGAAAATATCCATATCTTTCTGGTCATTGCAAAGAATCAGACTCTAAGACACAGAGTTGCATCATTGTCAGCGTTGAACATACTCGGGTTAAGTGATAGCGTGGTCATGGGTTGGGCGGTGACATGGAGCAACAGGCTATGATGATAGCACCGTATCAATATTCAATGCCAACTAAGTACTTTGGAATGGATCTGCAAATGAATTTCTAATTTATCCCAAATGTCTTATCCTCTTCGCTCTATGCATAGTATATGCTGCAAACTCGTCCCATCTCCCCGACGACGGAGGGAAAACTATGCTGCGGGACACCTTGTCAAAAACTCTGTCCCTACACTGCGAAATCAACCCTTCACACTTAGTATGATTTGTTATGTGCCCCTCGTCTCCCGTAGTCTCACAAAAGGTAGGAGTAGGCTGGCTGTCGGGTGAGGCTGAAGAAGTCGCGCTAGTGGGCTCCACCATCTTTGGCTGGAGCTGGGAGTGTGGACTGCAATGCTAGTGCTAGATCGGACTACAGATCATCCACTCTTGCTCTCTTTTGCTACCATCGCTACATCTGGGAGTGCAATGTCGCCGGCTAACCAAGTAGCGTCTGTGCTGGTTACACGAGCCTAGATCAAGCAAAAAGTAAGAAGGGATCCCGCTCGTCCTACATATGCATACGTCAGCTTTGGTAGCGAGTGGAGCCCGTTCCGCTCTTCCGCCCACCACATGGAAGCTACATGCCGATCGTCCATGAGCCGAAAGCAAGACGGATGCATTCTCATGGTACACATGGCATGTATGCCATCCTTTTGTGAGAAAACAAGCCACCATGCCCTTATCTGAAGATGGGCTCTCCGAGGCAACCAAACAAGCAATTATATGTGCCCCGCACAAAAGCGACTCTTGGTCCGGAGCGATTGGTCGACTCTTGAATTTGGCAGGATCGGACGGGTGGTGGAGAAAGGCGCAGCCCAGCTTACATATACTATGCGTACATATGCAAAAGTATCGCGCCTCCATCTTTCACCTTCTTTTCATTCAACCGCTGCCTTGCACCGTTCTCATATCACTAAGTATTCATTATGGAAACACATCATGCGACAGTAGCGTCTCTTGCGGCGCAGGTTGCCAAGTTCAGCGCATCTAAGACACCCTTTCGCATATATCACGGTTCCACGCTGTCGACACGAACGTCGTCTCGTGCACGCAATCAAATCATCGACGTCAGCTCGCTGGACCATGTGCTGCAATTCGACGAGCTGGAGAAGACGGTACTCGTAGAGCCGAATGTTCCAATGGATAAGTTGGTAGAAGCTACCATGGCAAAGGGATTCCTGCCAAAGGTTGTCATGGAGCTGCCGAACATTACCGTTGGTGGTGGGTAAGTGGAGCGTCTGTTTTTTGCACTCGAGCGGTCAAGTCCAAGTTTCTCAAGATCCTTGCCCATGACACCCTTCTTATATGCAACATGATATATCTTGGAGCCATGGACACTGATGGACGTGACTAGGTTTGCTGGCACCAGTGGCGAAAGCAGTTCCTACAAATATGGGCTCTTTGACCGCACCATCTCGGGAATAGAGATTATTCTGGGGAACGGTGAGGTTGTGTGGGCATCCACTGAGGACCACCGGGATCTATTCTTCACAGCCGCCGGGAGCTGTGGAAGCCTGGGCGTCATCACGCTACTCAAAATGGAGCTCATTCAGGCCAGTAACTACGTAGAGCTGGAGTACATACCAGTCAGCAGTACAGAAGAAGCGTTGAAGCAACTTCGACTTCACCAGGATGATTATACTGTCGATTACATGGATGGCATCATGTACTCTTTGAAGAGCGGAGTGATTATGATTGGGCGCTTGACGGATGCGCCAATGGATAGGATGATCCAGGGCTTCGACCAACCAGCAGACCCTTGGCTCTACATACACGCCGAAGATATTGTAAAGCGGACCCGGGGAGATAAGACGACGTACCGGGAGCTCATACCTACACAGTCGTACTTGTTCAGATACGACCGGGGCGTCTTCTGGTCCGGACTACGGGCATTCAAGTACTTTATCACGCCGTTCAACCGCGTTACTCGCTATCTGTTGGATCCTTTTATGTACTCACGAACAATGGTACATGCGCTGCACCGGTCAGGTCTTGCATCTCGGACAATCATCCAAGACTACGGGGTGCCGTATGATGCAGCAGATGAGTTCATCCGATGGATTGATGAGAAGACTGGCATCTGGCCCCTTTGGCTGTGCCCTGTCAAATCGGCACCGCTGGGCGAACGTAGCTTCTCGCAGGGCAACAACATCAAGGACGACATTCTGCTGAACGTGGGCATCTGGGACATGGGGCCGAATGACGCCCAGGCCTTCATCAAGCTGAACCGCGATTTGGAAGCCAAGGTGACGGCGCTTGGGGGCATGAAGTGTCTGTACGCGCATGCATACTTTACCGAGCAAGAGTTTTGGGAGATTTACGACGAGAAGAAGTACATGGAACTGCGCAGGAAGTACCACGCCGAGAGTCTGCCGAGCGTGTACGAGAAGGTGCGTGTCGATCTGCAAGGCGTTGTTGGAGACAAGAGTGTGCGGAAGAGACAGTCGTGGAGCGAATGGGCATACTGGCAATTCTGGAGCACGTGGCCGATGGGGGGACTGTACGGAGTTGCCAGCGCGACAAAGGGGTTGTTTTTCAAAAGCGATTTTTTGCTGAAAAAGTAAGAAGGGGTACATGTATGTACGTACATATGTATCAGTATGTAGAGTATGGAACCTTGGAATGGATGCATGGCAGGCCACGTGCGGGAGGTGACGGTGGAGGGGATCCGGCGTCGTCATGCATCTCGCGAGGAAATCCCCCTGACAGGGCTGGCTGTATTGAACCCTTTGATTCCAGGCCGTGGGAAGATCAGCCGCTGATGATTGTGCGGGCGCCCTGTGGTAAGCCGTTCACATGGTGACGTCGAGTGAGGCGGGGGGGTGACTGCAAGCGCCAGCCGTTCACTCGCCAAAAACCTGTATGGGGGCGGGTTTAAGTTTCCAGTGGTACTTACTAGAGGGACCAAGGCAGCGAGTGCGTAAGGATGTGTTAGTGAAGACGCGCCCAAGAGGCCGTCGCGTCGACGTCACCCGCGAAGGGCTAGCGTAGGCGTAGGCGCAGGACATGCATGGGCCGCATTGACGTAGCAAAAAGCCTCCACTTGCCCAACCACCCCATTTCACGCACAGTCGCACAATCCCAGGTGCCCGTTCAACCTCCTCTTACCCACACTAGATCAAAGCTGGCCCTGCCCTGCCCTTTTTGTGCCCCGCTGCTGTCCATTCCACCGCGCTCCCTCCGCCTGGGCACTCCATTTTTCATTCTATCCAGACCTTTCTTGGCCTTGCACCCACTCACCGGTTGGACCACGTTTTTCTGGCTGGCCTTTTTTTCTTCGCTTTCTTTCTTGATAGATAGGTACGAAGCCCCAACACGCGCAAAATCACGCGTGATTGACTCTCCTGGCACAGTAGGAGCTAACAGCAGCTGTAGAATATAGCAATTGACCCATAGACGTAACACCATGGCGCGTCTTAGCGGTCTGCCATCTGAGCACCACCACGAGGGCCCTGGCGACGCTCCACGACGAAAGCGCGGCCGCCCATCCACCAAGCTCCAGACACCCTCGGAAGATATGAGCTCAAACGGCAAGCGGACTGCTTCGCCCTCTGCTGAGCTCTCGCAGACGAAGCGCACAAAGCGAATTGCAGTTGAAGACGACGAGGACCAGATTGCCCACGAAATTCAGCAATCGTTTTCGCGGTCGCAACAGGGAGACAATATCAACGTCGAGACTCAGAGCAGCCACAACACCCGCCGCCAAGCAAGACGACACTCTGAGCCTCTCGTCGCCGTCGACGAGGACGACAAAGACGAGGACGAGCTCATGGCCCCACAAGCTTCCACGCAACCACTTCCAGGCCTGACCCCCCACCTGGATCGTGTTGGCGCTGCCCGCAAGCGCTTCGTCAACATCCGCCGTTCCCGCATGTCCATGCCTGCCCAGTTGCACATTGAGCGTGTCGACGAGGTCGACGAAAATAACTCCAACCGCGTTCAATTTGCGCCTCTCACACAAGTACTCGACAGCCGTGCTAGGCGCCGGCTTCGCCGCAGCCACCTGAGTCAAGAGGTAAACAGCTTCGAAGACCACCAGAAGAAAGACAAGAAGCTCTTCCTCGAGCTCCGCCGCCAGCTGCGCGAACAAGATGAAAAAATCAAGGATCTCGAGTACCAGCTCGAAGCCCGCCGCCTCGGAGAGATTGATATTACCGATGCACACGCCGACGAGCTGCAAGTGCAGCTGGATGAGGCTCGCCAACAAATCGACGAGCTTCGAGCATCCTCGTTGTACAACGGTGACGACAATGAGGAGCCTGTCAATCTTTCCGATGATGAGGAGGCACTCGTCATGGTTGACCCCGAAGACCTTCACATGTCGCAAGACCTCGACATGGAGCCTATCCCCACTGGCAAATACGCCTCTCGTGCGCTCGAAATCTCTAGCCAGATGACTCTCGAGTCTCTGCCGACCCTTTCGCAGCTCCACCGCGACAACTTGACCGAAGGGGAGGAAGTAATGATGGACAAGATCGAAGATGAAGCCATCGAGCGCTACGAACGGGAGCTGCAACAGCTCAGCAAAGCCTTGGGCGAGTCTCAGGGTGCACTGCGCTTGATCACGATTGAGCTGCAGAATCTGCGGTTCGTCGAGGCCGGTGCCTCCTCGAGCGACATCTTGGCTGAATTGCGACACGGATTTGAAGACATCCGCGCTGAGATTGAGAAGTTCTTCCCTGGTACCACATCTGGTGTCACCAACCAACAGCTTCTACAGAAGGTTCCCCAGCTCTTTGGTGGCATCTTCTACGAGCTGAAAGAGAAAATCACACTGCTCAAGGACTCTCAAAAGACCGAGGTTCTTCTTCGACGACAGTACGAAGGTGTGCTAGACCTGCTCGGCGACTCCGAAGAGCGAGTGAAGCAGCTAGAGTCGGACGTGTTCACGCTTGACAAAGCAAACGAAGACAAGCAGCGTACCATTCTCGAGCTTGAGGAGCGCAATGCTACCTTGACCAACCTGAATGATGAACAGGAGGCCCAGCTAACCAAACAAGATGCTGATATCGCTGATCTTGAGGACGAAAATTCAACCTACAAGCAGAATGTAGCAGAGCTTGAAGAAGCTCTTGAAAAGTACCGCCAGGACCTCGACGATGTCACTACCGCAGCCACTGAATTCGAAAATAACCACCACGACACCATTGCCCACATGGAGAAGGAACATGAGGAGGCCATAGCTGCCTTAGATGATTTACGTGCGGCAGAACAGGAGGGCCGTGAAATGGCAGAAGCCGAAGTTGAGCAAAAGAACGACTATATTCAGCAACTAGAAGAGAGCATCGAGCGTATGGAAACCGATGTCGACAATATCACCGCAGACATGAGCACGCTCAGAGAACGTCTGGCTACTCAAACCGCGGCCCGCGAAGCTGCCGAAACCGAGCGGGATGAGCAGATCGAGCAAGTCTACAAGCACGCCAACACCATCGAGAATCTCACAGACACTGTCACTGAGCTCAAGGAGCAACTCAATGAATACCGGGACAATCTGGCCGCCGAGCGTGCTCAACGCGAGAAGACCGAGGCTGATTTGGATGAAGCCAACGAGAAGATTGAAGATCTCAACATTCGTCTTCATGACACTGGTATACAGGCTAATGAGCTTCGTTCAAAGCTGTTCCAGCTCCAACAAGAAAAGGAAGCTGCGATCAGTGAGCTTGAGGAGGATGCAGAGGAGCTCGAAAATGAGCTCAACAATCAGCTGGAGTCCGAGTCTCAGCTTCGTGAGAACGCCGAGAAGACAATTGGCCGACTGGAGCAGCAGATTCTGCAGCTTGAAGGAGACATCGCGACGCTTGAGAACAACCTTGCCGATACGACCGAGTCACGCAACCAGCTCGAGCAAGACCGCGATGTCCAAGTTGCCAGCCTCGCCGCTCAGCTCGCAGACCTTACTAACAAGTATGCCGCATTGGAGAATTCAACCAGCTCTACGATTGCGTCTCTTCAAGCCAACATCATCGACCTTAACAACCAGGTGCAGCGTCAACAAAGCGAAATCGAGGACCTTATTGAGCAAGTCGCTGAGAAGGAGCGCATGTATCTCGAAGATACTACCGCTCTCAAGGAGAAGATTGAGAATCTCGAGGAGGATCTTAGCAACCAAAAGGCTGAGAATGAGAGTTACCGAAGAGAGAACGACTCCTTGTCCAGACGTGTCGAGGCGGAGGCTAATGAGCTACTGAACATTGTCGGTGCGCACAACGACCAGATTAACTCTCTCAACGCCGTCATCAGGTCACATGAGGCGACGATCAAGAACCTCCAAGACTCGTCTGAGAAGCGTGCGGCTGAGTACGAGGAATTGCTCGAGGATCGCAACAACGAAATTACCGAGATGCGTCTCTTGGGCGACGCTCGTGTCGAGACGATTGTCCTCCTTGAAGCTCAAATCGAAGAGATGAAGGAGCGCTTCCGCCTTGCTGAAGAAGATACGCGCGCGACCATCGACGCCCTGACTGCTTCGCAGCGCCAACTCCAAGAACAAAATGAGCGTCTTGCCGACGACCTCAAGCGCCGAAACCAGGAAGCTCTTCAAGCTGTACAAGAAATGAAGCTCAAGCGTGTTGAAGTCAAGACCCAGGGCGTTAACCTGCACCGCGTTGCCATGGGCAAGATTGCCAAGACAAGCGAGAAGGTCAAGATTGGCAAGAAGGGCAAGAAGAAGAGCTCTAGGCGCCAATGGGATTCTGGATTTGGCGTTGATGAGAATGTAGAAGATGATGAGCTTAATGGCGAAGAGCAACCGATTGCCGCGTAGAGTGCGCTTGGGTGCGGTCTTGATAAGGTTTCCTGAGGCCCACTTTTCTTGGGCTCCACAAGGGATGGTGTTTTATGTTCTTGGCCTTTGGCTTTTCGTCTTCTTCTTTACTCCAAACCTACTTGGACATTGTCGTTGTACGACCTTTTTTCCATCTGTCTCTCCTACACCTTTCTGGTTTTTTTTTTCCTCCCCATCGGGACTGGGACAAGTTGTTTGTCTCCTTTTTTGCAGAAAATTGTGTACCTCTCTTCTTGTTTTTCTTACTCTTTGGAGGGAGGGGAGGCAGGAGCTTGTATTGTCTTCTTGTGTTTTATCCTTTTCGATATGAAGGGATAGATCATACTCGGGACAAAATACATTGCTAAATTAACGACTTTTGATGACTTGGCTTCTACTGGCTTCGTTTCTTAGGCCTATTTCTTTTTTTTTAACTCGGTTTAGTTTGGAGGTAATTACACAGCAAGGCAACAACAGTGTGTGTATGTATGCATGTATGTACGTATGTATGTTATTTTCCTTTGTGGCATATTAGCGAGGTGGAGTTTCCTTTATGGTATTGTATGCCTGATGGGTTTCATGGCGACGATGGAAAGAGGAGGATTACAACAAGCAAGCGGTGCATGTGCTAGGTAGTTGGTTCTATAGCTGCAATCCTCATTGGTTTAATCGAACACAATGGCTCTAGTGTGCTTCATGTATACTCACCTCCCTTCGTAGCTCGTATCTCATACCGTATGGATCCCTGATGCACTATATGAGAAAATCAAAGGCGCGTGCGCATCCTCAATCTACTACACGACTTGGTCACGCGTATATCCAGTGCCATCTTGTGCACATACACGCTGAAGGCCATTGAAACCGACAATCCGCGCTCGGATACTACTAACTTGCAATCGAAAATCCGATTCTCCGTACTACATAGTATCACCACTACTATCATAATTCCATCGTTGTACTCTACTTTTCATCCCAGTAACCCCAACATTCATACCAGGGGCAAACCCCCCCCCCCTCCTTCCCCCAAATACCCCTGCAACACAAAGCGGGGCGCATTGATTCTTGGCACTCGCCGAAGCGCTGGGTGTCGGAACCCTCACACCCCGTCAACAACAAAAAAAGAAAACAAATCAGGGGTGTTTTGCGTAGAAATATGAGCATGGATGGGGGGTTATATCACGGTTTATTTTTGAAGTTTCTTTATCCGAAGCGCTGGGGAGGGGTGTGTGGGCGGGATTCGGGGATTTTTTTTTTTTTTTAGATTTGTTATGTAAGATGATGGGGAAGGGAGAATTGGAAAAGAGAGAGAGAGGAATAAAAAGTCCTAGATTTTTGGATTTTTTTGGATTCCTGTTGTCTATGTACACGGGGGTGGTTGACGTTTATTTCTCCAAAAAAGTGAAAGTAAGATATATATACAATTGCGGAAGTGGGTATTTTGGTCCCTGCTCCCCCCAGGTTTCGCTGGCGCGCAAGAGCGCGGTTGCGCAGTGGTCTAGGCCGCGAACACATATAGTGCATTGGCAGTGTGTTTCTTCTATTGTGGGAAACCGCGGTTGCCACAGGGAGTATGCTTGTTTCCCACTGGGTTATGCCGTGTGGCCGGCTCGAGCAGTGCTCGTTTCCCGTGTGGTTGCGGGGGAGAGAGGGATAATGGGTTGTAGTATGAGTCTTGAGCGAAAAGAAAAAAACTTTCCTTATGGGATGTGCGGTAGAGACAAGTCTTTTAGACTCATGTTGCGGCTGTCACTCGATTCGGTGCTCCATCTTGAGTTTGGTGTTCGAGGCCGTACTTTTCGCGCTCCGGCTTCCATTTCTTCGACGTCCTCAGGTTGCGCTAGTTCGCTGGTGACTTGGGTGGTTGTGATGAGCTTGATGTCTGTGGCGCCTGCGCTGACGAGATCATCTGAGCTATCGTTGCTTGATGAAAGTGTGATCCTGCTCTTGTTCTTGCCCCTTCGGGTCTTTGCATACGAGTTTGTGGCTTCAACTGTACATTCGCCACCGAAGCGCGTTGACTTTTCTACCCAGAACACTGCGAATGTGTCTATTCCGTTGTCTTCAGAAGGCGGCTCATCGCTGAATATCAGGATACGTCGAGTGATTGTGTAGAGGAGGACGTCGAGCCAGCCGTTGGAAGTAATGATTGCGCCACAGAGACAAAGGCGTGCCAGTGATGGTGGGTTGCCTGACATGGCCGCCATACGCGAGCTGGCGAGAGGAATGGTGCAGATGATGTATACAAGAGGGTATACGACCATGAGGTTGGCGATGGACCGTACTCGTTCGGACTCTTCGGGCTTGTAGTGACCCGAGCGAATACGGACGATCAATATCGCATAGATAAGGGCATAGATGATGACGTTGCCAAATTCACTTGGGAGAAAAGTTAGCATGAAAAACTGGACTGACAGCGTGGTGCTTACGCGACGAAGATCCAGAAGTAGTGGGTCCATAGTCGAAGGTCTTCATGGTTATGACTGATCCAACACCATACACCGGATCGAACGTAGATGCCCTTGCCATGCACGAAGATAGGAACGGTAGAAATCCCAAAGATGAACAGCCATAGCAGGAATACAGTCAGGTAAAAGGCCCGGGGTTTTAGTCGATAATTTAGGATGACAGAGGCAAAGGTATGCAGACCGATGGCGAGACACCAGATCCCGCTTCCCAAATCACCCGTCGAGACTAGCCAACTTTGCGCAAAGCAAACAGGATTTTTTACTTCCAAGGATCCCAGTCTCAGCCACTCGACGTTTAGCAGGAAAGCAAGGGCTTGTTGTATGTCGGCCCAGAGAAGGTTGAAGATTAGGATGACGAATTGGTTACTCCGTTTGGACCGGAGTTGCCAGGACACGAGCTTGTATGTGAGAACCAGTAGAAGGGATACCGAGGCGAAGAAGCTGATAAAGCCCAAAACGACGACTGCGCGTAACCATGGGTGGATGTAGTCTGGTAGTACAAACGACGCAGAATCGGAGTCGTGGTGCTGAGAGGTCATTGCAGCAGGTAGGTGGGTTGACGCTCGTCTCGTCTCGTCTCGTCTCGTCTCGTCTCTTGGAGGGGCAAATATGTTACATGCCAAAAACAAGACCCGTCTTGCTGTTCAGAAATATCATACCGAGTGGGCCAGGCATGGAGCAGGTATGGAAGGGAAAAGGAAATGGGTGGCGCAGGGAAAATAAGGTGTAGCACCGGCGCCGGGAGCAAGCAGATCAAGTAGGTAATGCACGGTTGGCATATGGGTCAGGCATGCTCCGCATGGCAGCGAAGAATTGTAATCTGGGGGCCCACTGTAAGCTGGAGTGTTGGATCCTCACCCCAGTCCCCCACCGATAGTACGGGACGCGCTAGGATGGTAAGGCAGCTCGTGGCATCCATGCCGCAGGCGCAACGGAGAAGGATGTTAGCCTATTACTCCTTTGACAACCGTCTCTATACGAAACGTACAATAGCCGGGGCGGGGAAGTCTTGTAGAACGTACAGTAGAGTATGTAGACTAATCTAATAGTACGACTCTAACTTGATCGTGAGCGTCGTCGTCGGCGCACTTGTACTACTAGCATGCGATATGGCCCAGAAGCTCCTTGGAATCCTTTAGAATGCATGTCATCAACATGCTTCCCGTCCCCCACCCACATACTCACACAGCAACGTGCTCGATTTGGGCAGAGGTGAACAATTGAGCGTCATCTGACCAACATGAGATCAGGCATGCAGTCGACACAAGGGCCACGCGCGGCAGGCCCGGGGTCCACTCTATTGTCAACACTCCCTGACTCTGGGCACTGCACCAATGATTCAGTGGCGCTTGTCTAGGTCGTGTAGAGGCACCTGGTCCGGCTCCTCTTCGGTTGATATGGAAGCGAGAGCCGACGGTTGGTTGGTAGACTTGGAAGGTTGTGGCTAAAAGCCACTTCGTATCTTTACAAAATCCAAACAAAAAAAACGCCTCTCGTCAACGGTGTCGCGAGAGGCCTCGACGGCGGATGTTTTCTTTGCTCGTCATCGTCATCATCATCATCATCATCATCATCTTTGGCCCATGCATGAAAGAGGGACGATCCGCATGGAAGTCGTACGTATCACGCTACTATGGTGCTATTTGGTGCAAGGTTCCCCTATCCGCTGGGCCCTGAAGAAGAAAGCAAGAGTGGCCTCGCAAAGCAGCGATGGCATTTCCTCGTCTTCCCACTGGCCTATCGGCGCATATCGATCTTGTTAAAGCTCCGGCAAGCAGGTGGGTAATCTACCTGACCTTCCTGATGCGTGTGGATAATCTGCGATACTACGTCTGGCGGGCGCTCAAACTTCAGGCTATCATGGCGCAACAACCACACCGCGGAGCATCCATGCCATCAACGATGCCGTGGGGCTAGTCTAGCGCGCCCTGCGTCGCTGCATGGAACACATGCCCATGGGCGAGCCAGCCAATCAGCTAAATGGCCTGTGAGACTGACGACGCGGGAGATGCACTCAGGTCATCTTTTCGGAGCAAAGGGTACAAAGATAGGCCCTACTTTTACGAGCCCTTCTAGAATCACGGATAAAAGGAGACGGGCGCACAGATTGTTTCTTTCGCCTATGTATATTAGTGTAGGAGCACATCAATATAGCCCAGCCGTGGGACAAATGCAAACATACTCTAGTCCAAGTACAAATCAGCCCTTGGAAGCCCAGCAACCCATCACCCTCGATAATCCCTCGGGAAAAAAAAATACTTTTCAGTCACTGGCTATGCACAGGGGGGGGGAGGTGGGGCCGATTGATTGATTTTACCCCGGAAATAGCAGTGTTGGCCGTGTTGGCACAAGAGGTGCTAGGCCCCTTCAGGCCGGCTAAGCTCTGCGCCCCAAACATGTGCAATATCGCTTCTTGACGTCCTGTTCGTCCAGAGGTCTATCCAGTACGCTTGTCGTTCCGTTTCAGAGCACGCAATAACCCAATCCAGTGCCTTCACATGCGCAGTTGCCTTGACGTTGCATTGTGGGCCGCTTGCCATGACATTGGCAATGCTATAGCGATACCTGGCTTTACGAACCGCTTGACCGGGAATGGGAACATGTTTGCGCGTGAGCACGACATGACCCTAAGGCCTGGGTTGTTGACAAAGTTATATCATGCCAAGCCAAAGCACTGTCACGAGCGCGCTACTATGTGCCATTGGTGCTTACAGCAGGGCTGAAGGCTTCCGAGACATCCGTAAGCAGCACCAGGGTCTGCAGATCGCCTGGCCCATATCTTTGTTTCCAGAATCCAATTCCTACTATACAGGACCCGACCTTCGCTTGTTCCCGCAAACAATCGACTGAAGCGAAAGGAATTCATCCCAAACGAACGTGCACCTTGATCTTGTTAGCCCAAAAAGGAACAGCACAAAAGGATTTTGAGATGGCGGAATTACCTGCAAAAGAATAGTCTAGTTACACTTTTGTCTTTTTAGCGCAATGTCCTGGCCCACGCCAATTGAAAGTGGTAACAACGCCAAGCATACTTAAGCCTCCACACAGAACAGGTATACCCATGCCCTGAAAAAGGCTGTACCGTCTGATCTGCACTCCGTCGTGGGAAAAATTGAGGTCATTGCTGACAAGAGAAAGAAAATACGGTCACTGCGCTGGTCCAGTTGGAGGAGAGTGGCCAAGGGCAGCGCAAAAAAGACAGCAAAGGTAGTGGTAGCGAGGAAGTAGCGCAGAGGAAAATCGTATCCGAGCTTTCTACGCAAGTAAGCGAATGTTGCCGATAATCGTGTGCGCTGTCGAGACTAATGAACAAAAAATGAATTCTTAATCAAAAAATAACAAGTTTGAGTTTACACAATTCTTGTCCAGGTGGAAGAAGGACCGGCATGCCCGAAAAAAAAAGGGCTTTCTCGAAAGATTTGGCCACCTGAGGCACATGTGTACAATCCGACGCCTCTCTACCGCAATAACTCGGAAATAAACAATGTGCATGAAACATGGTCTAGAAAACCATACTCGATGTCTTGTTTGATATGTGCGATGCTCGAGCACTTGGTGCATTGTTGGTCCGCAACCCCATTCTAACAACACCACAATCGTGCTTTACTACCTATTAGTAGCTTGCGAAACTCTCGTTACGCGTTTACCCCATTGTGCCAACGCATCGAGGACATACATGGCATATGATCTCCAATGTTCGAACCTTTATCAACGGCAATAGATTTAAGGGTGAACCTTTTATGGAAATCCTGGAGGACTCGAGATGAAAACAACCCAAGTCTTTTTGCTCCGTTCATGCAAACGAGCAAAAAAAAAGGCAACATTGTCACTGTAGAGCAACATCCTTATCAGTTTTTGGAATCGAAATACTAGTCATGAATAGTTTGTTTCTTTTTGTTCTGTAAATCATTCTATCTTTTTGAGAATTTCGGAGGTCGCCCCTCCCCTTTTTTTTTTGAAGGAAAGCAGTGCGAAATGGTTTTAGGGATTATAAGATCAGAATAGGCGATTCTCTGGGCCTTTTCTCAAATCACGGGACCTAACATTTCAAATATTTCAAAATGGGGAAAAATTCAAAATAAATGTCTGGTAGACTTTGCAGCGTTTGTTTCTTTGGTCGTCATCCACTCAAGGCGGGTATATCACGGCTAGTTTCCAATATCTTCGTTGGTATTTCCTCCTCGGTGTTCAATAACTATTCTCTGGGATCCGATGTTGATATTACCTTGATGGATAATGCTCAGATAGGGTGCTGGGATAGTGATACCAGCAAAGGCATCAGAATGGTATGTCTATCTCTCATGGTATACCAGTATATCAGGAGGATACCGATCACGGCTATATATAAGTGTTCTAGAAGACTGCAAATTTCGGCTTGCTACAGCAGAACGCTGGATTGTTACACTTTCCTACGTGTGAGGGGATTCGGGGGGGAGGGCTGTTGGGTAGAGAATGATGGGATTGTTGAATGTATGAAAAGAGGGAGGTGGTACCCGTGGAGTATTACCCCACCGATGATAACATTGGATACTTGAGCGCATGTATATAGTTTGATGGTGAATGCTACTTGTATGAGGTCTTCGTATTGTACATCCTGCGTGCATGCACTAAACCCTGGATTTTCCATTAATTGTTAGGTGCATAGCTATTAGTTGTAAATATCGAGCTGACGATTACACACATATTAGATACCGACTCAGGGGAAGATATAAGCTTGGTCCAGTATTTTCAGCGTCTTCACAATTTGTAGAACTGGCCCCTTATTCGGAATCTGTTATTGGTTCTATAGCCATTGGTTGCCAAGGGTGCGATGACATTGATCCACGTCGAGTAACTATAACTTGACCATGTTCCGAAGGTTGGTTTGGTGAAGCAGAGATTCGAGTAAGAATAGAAGACAAAGATCCTGGTGCCTGGAAATTCCGCGTTTGCATCTAACGACTGAAGGCACAGAGTCCGTCCTCTTCCTCTGTTCACACCCATCGATGATTAGATGCACCTCCCTATTTACAGCCTGTGTTAACCATGTATCATCAGAGAAAGGTTCAGACAAAGCACCTGACCGGTCGTAGAGCTTTGTCTCTTCCTTTTCGTTACGTTTGCCTGTTGCTAGATTCTACATAACACTCCAGCTATTGGATGTAAGACGGGTAATTCGTTAGAAAGTAGGACGCTCAGCAACTGCTCTTGAAGGAATTATTGAACTATTTCTGTGGCTTTTTGTAGGAACTTCATACTGTGACTGGATAGATCGGCCAGTCTTACTCCCAGTATCCTATTGGGCGAGTATCTGATGCTGAACTGGGTCAATCTGTCACTTTAGAGTGATCATGAAAATTTCGTAGGAACCCTTGGGCACTAAAACAATGAGCAAGCGTCTTGGGTCGTATTTGGAATGCCACGTACTTTCCCCTGGTGCCATCTTAGTAGGTAAAGTAGAGGTGATGATCTTGTCATCAACATTTGCATCGGTATTCCCATCCATAGGGGAGCCATCTTGGAAGTATCTTGCAACTAATGAAGTCGATGTATCACCAGAAAACAGATCATTCCAATGAGGAAGGCTGGCCTTGGATGACCGCTTGCAGCTACTTTACAGAATCGACGGGCCAATACATAAATCCGTTATCATCTTAACGAGAAACAGCAACTTGCTTCAAAATTCCATTCCACATGACCTCGAGACATATACGAAGTGTCATCCTGTGCAGGTACATATCAATCTAGTATCCTATCAGGCTGAGTCTCGTGCTGCCCAGAACTCCCAGAATCTCCAGAAGTATACAAGTCTAAAGTCTAAGTGAGAAAGACTCGAGGAAATATACCTCAGCCTGACACCTAATGAGGTGCCACTGCCATCTGTTTCTGAGGGGGTTCAAATGAACTTTGTAGATGCTGTGGTAGATTCTCAGTCACATATGGAAGCGAGTCTTGTGGGTTGTGCGTATAGCGGCTATGGATGTGATGCACAGACGTGCCAGGAACTGGTTGAGCAGTGCCCATATGCTTTCTGATGGTGCAATGTAGGCCGTGCCGTTGATTTTGAGGAAGTGCAGTAGCAGTGACAGAAGAAATGGCATGGTATCCTAATACCAGAACGTCACCTCCATTTCTCCTGCGCCTATTTACCAGCAACGGAAAAGGTAAGGTTCGGACTAACGTGTTCTATCAGTAAGCTGGCCGTATCAGTAAGCTGGCCGCCCCACCAAAATTGACGCGACGTTTTACGCAATTGAGCCACAACAACGTAATATTTTTGGAGATAATTAAGAGATATAATTCATGATCTAGTCCTGCATGACGTCCGAGTATGTCCTACAGTGTGGCATTTCGTGCACGTTGGCGGCGCGCGCTGGCGTCGCTCACCAGTCTGGTTCTGGTCACTGCCCATGACCAACCTTTCTGCCTCTGCAGTAAGCTGCTGAGCCTGCTGCACCTGAAGCACCCCGCCAGAGGCGATATATTGACGGCGCCGGTCTTGCTTTTGTTGTTGGCGCTTATTGACTGTACGTAGCTTCTTATTCTCCTCTGCGAGTATTGTTGCTGATTGCATTGCAAGCTGAGCGCTCTTAGCAAGCTGGCGTATAGCAATGCTTGTTGGACTCTCTGACTGCCGGTGTAGTCGCTCTTGGAGATAGCGCACCTGCTGCTGAAGCTGAGCTACTGTATGCGGTGTTTCTGCCTGCGTTACGGCGTTATTATCTATAGTTGTCTGTAGTGGAGATGGCGTGCGGACAACTGTTAGCGACGATAGGACACGCTTGGGACAGAGAGGGACAAGGCCTGTCGC